GAGCATTGTGTCTTCCACCTACGTGTTCCAACAGCATAAAAGTACCACTCACGCCGAATTCCAGTTGACACCGTTGGATACTATAATTTAAGATTGTTGATGCTGGAATTTTTTCCACGGAATTTTCAATTGGAAATATATTATATCACAGTTGAAATTGATTTAAAAGACGATATAATGAAGTCGATTCATGCTCAATCTATCACAATATTCATGCGAGCTTTAACAATCAAAGAAAACGTTTTCGGCGATAGTGTATGTGATTATTTTGATTAATATTTGACAAGGAGCAGAATCTTATCAACACATTTTAACATTTATCGAATGACGGCCGATTCATTTTCCTGTAATTGTTTTTTGTATTGAATATCAGCGTAATTCCTCAAAAATATGATTGCAAAACAACGACGTCCGTTTACTGACGTTCACTCACAACACAAAGTCGAATTTCGTCATTTGATCATTTGGCCATGTTCGACGGGGTTCGACGTACTGTACCAGCGGGCAAACAATCGCCAATCGCAACAAGCGCGTAAAACCGAATGCACACCATGAGAATCAAATGCTCGCTTCACCGACTCAACAATAATTCAACGATTCTCCGACCAATTCTAACGCAACCGGCAGTTAGTGTTCATTGTTTGGAGGAACATTTCGTTTTCAAGTTGCTTTTTATATGTTACGCTTTATATAATAACAATCACGCAGGTTATAAATGATAAATCACAATGTTAGTATAAATACTTTGTATAATTAAAATTTACCAATTTAGTACAACGCAGAAAACAAGATCAGCGTGGAGGCGTCGGTTATTTATAAACTTCAAGTTTAATTCGATTAAATCGTTTCATGTTCCGCGTATGGCCGACACGGGTACACGTGCAATGTCATAAATCCAATTTTACTTTATTGAATTATAATAATATCGTTGAATCTCGCTAACTTGCAGCGTAATAATAATAATATACTGTTTAATTCGTAAGAATAATAATGAATTAATTATATATTTCGTAATGACTCATAATGATCGCAATAATTTTTAAATGTTGAAAGCGGAGCGTGTTGTGGCTCTCATGGAATATTTACGAAGACATTGTGAGTCGCGGGCAAGAGACATAAATGAGGATAATTACAGCGACGGTGAGGCTGCAGGTGAAGAAGCACTTGGAGCGGTGCAGACGATTAGGAGATTATTTAGCGATGAGTATTAAGCGATTTCGAGTGTTTAAACAACGCAATTTTGAAAAATTCCGCATTTTTTACATTTCATTTTATAGACAATGAACTTCTGCAAGCAATTTTTTGATTTATTATATTGTCGTTTGACAAAACCTTTGTGAGCAACTCCGGACGCGCAAGCGAAATACTCGTAAGCTCAAACTCATAAGCTATTTTTAATTAAGGCCATTATGTCAGCCGATACAAAAACTGAATTTCTCACACTCGGCCCGCAGTGCTACACATATTTACGATAACAGCCCATCTATCCATCTCGCACCGCGTGTAATTAAATTCAGTTATACACGGTTATTACTTTACACCAAATTTGATTTCGTACGCGCTCTCTTCACGCGTGCAACGGCGAAATACCCAGAAGGAGAGAAGGTCGCAACATACACAAACACGAGTAAAACACGATTATTACGCTAAGTACGGCCGATAATGTGGGTACTTTCGAGCACTCTCCGGGCAAACACAACACAACAAACAATTGCAGAATTAATCATTATAAAAAATCTGTTGTGGGTCCATGTGGGATGTAACATCAACATCAGAGTGTATACAGTATACATATAAAGTATAACATAACACTGTAGGTATGCTCAAGTTAATTAAATAAAAGAATTTTATGTTTCTTCACTTTATAGTTAATAACTCGTAGAAATCATGCCTGTTGTGTTTATACCTTCTTGGCGCGTACCTACTCTTCTGCGCGTCGTTCTGCGATAGTGACCTTAGACCTTCGACGTGGGTCACTTGGCAGACTACAATAGAGCGTCGTTCACGGTAACCTGAGCAAAATCGCCAAAGAGAGACGCCGTGTGCGCCCGGAACATTGAAAGAGAAGATGAAACGCAGGCGAAACGAAAGTTATATAAGAAATAGACACTGGCGACGCAAAATTAACAAGGAAAATCGAAATAAAAAAGGCTTAGTAGCGTGTCTTTAGTCATGGGAGTAGAGCTTTCGAGTTGTAAGCCCGTATGCCACTATGCGTCATGCGGCTGGTTGCAGATTTCGCGATAGACATCGTGTAAAAATGCAGCGTCCATTTTGTTCTCTCTCTGTTCAATAAAACAACAAAAAAAGAGCTTAATATGGCTTATCTTGAGCAACATTACTTAAACTACGATGCCGAATAATAGCCGAAGGCTGTGAAGAAGACGCTTGCTCCATTTTTGTTTCAATGCGATCGCAAACAAAAGAAAACCACAGCGCGATGTTGCTCGCTGTGCGCGCAATTGCAATTTAGCGATAAACCATTTTCTAATGCGGCGCGATCGGTGCGGCTCGTTGCACGTAAATGACAACCGCAACAAAAATGCGTAAACAAAGAAATTGCTCGGTGCCGCATGCCACGCGAACGAAACGAAAATGATAAATTAGGTCGTGCCCAGCGCGGCACACACACACACACATTATTACGCTAAGCTCAGCTTCGCTATATTCATCTAATAAATGTACTGGGGCACAATGCGCTCGCACCGAACGGACACAATTTCATTGCCCGCGAAGTGTGTTGGAGGAGGCGAAGGAGGTGAAACTAGCGTGCGCGTACCTGGCGCACTTGGTTGTCTCGTACTTTGTTTGCTCATTAAATTTATACGTATTTTATCATGTACTGAGGCTGAGAACGTTTTTGTTCGACGAAAACAAAGCCAACCAACTCAAAAATAGGTTAGTCGAGTAGACAACCTGGCAGCAAATTAACCGCAAAAATACATAATCGTAATTTACATTTTCATTATCTTAAAAATATTTAATCTGTTTAATTTTTTTAATGATGCAGTTTTTTGCACGCAGGAAGTCATTAAAAGATGCGTCAACGCATAAATTATCCCTATAAAAACAGATAATAACTTTTAAAACTCGTTCGCTGACTGATAAATTGAAATGTAGGCCATCGCCAAGTGCAACACCCCGTCCCCAAGCCCATGTCCTGCGCTTGTCATGCCATCGTGTTCTAGTTTAGCATCGATTTCAGCCGCGATCGATTTCGAAATTAAAATTAGGTCCGTGCTGCTTTACACTCGGCGTCATCGGTCTAAAAACGAGTACTTAATGTTTAATTTTAACTCAAACTTTACTAAAGTAACGAACTACACTATAAAGCTTGTCTGAAACAGGGAAGTAGCAATTTCATGCTACAAATCGATCTGTAAGCATGTGTATAACCAGCTTCCAGCAGCGACTAACATCCATGTTACGCAGATTGCTAATAATCTTCAACACTACTTACATCATCATCTTTTGCTAATCTTACAATTTACTACGACAAAAAATGATATTTTGATTCGTCGTGGTGCTCAAATCATGTATAAATTCACATATGAATATGCGTATAGGTTAATTTATGTTTTATTATTGGCAAGCGCAGGATATTTACTAACTTATTCGTAAAATCTTGTTTAACCTTGCTCGTGGCCAGTCCAATAACCAAAGAACGCATTCCGGTCGCGTATCTTCGCATCTCTAGTTTATAGTTTATTATTCCTGCAGACAAAATATTGTAGATATAAATACATAGTTTTATATCTAGTCTGTAGTAGACAGAGCGGACAGACTTGGATTTGGATTGTCTATGAACTCAGGAAGCCTGAGAACGCGATCGTGACTTTTTTCACAGCGTCTTTGTGTGTCCGTCGAGCACGACGCTTTTTTTGCTGCTTTCGATCCGTTTAGCATCGATTGAAATTGAAAGATCAACGTTCCGAGACTTGCATCTTATATTATCTCTTCTTTACAACTACAAAGTTTATTTTTTTATTGTTTTACCATGAGGAGCGGTAATGTTATTAATAAATTCCAGCCGTATGCAAATGTGGAATGTATGATCGATGTTAATATTGACTGTGACATAATCATAAACGTTCCAGATTTAATAATAGGTCTGATTTTTCTGATCATGCGATGGGTGTTCGAATGTTTCGTTTCACGCCTTTTGTGAGAGCGCCCGCCACACTATGTGTCTCATTGAAAATGTCGAACGAATCGCGAATGGAAGTCCGCAAATGGTTGTTGGTTATGCAACAATGCCCGATTGCACTGTTGCTGGCTGTAACACGGAATCAGATGAACAACACGCGCCCACATGATACAATGCAAACCATTTTACAATCAAAATCAAATAATCTAAACTCTTGCAGCAAAAGCAGAGCAATCATTAGATGTAGACCAAAACAAACATAACCTATTTTTATACCTATATTCGATATGCAAGCGAGTTTAAGAGTTTAATCACTCAATCACCTGTTACCTACGCATCCATTTATTTATAATAGAAGATGTGGTAAGAAGATGTATGAATCTTTGAGATATATTAAAAAATAACGCATTGTGCTGCACGCTCGTCATAGACTCACGCGTACATACATGCCGTGTGATTTATTGCCATAATTACCAGGGCCGCAGCTAGTGCTGCCCCGTATTCCAATTTATTTCACGTTTTATTATCGCTCCGAAGCGGTTGAATTTAAATGTAAATTTCGTAGCAAACCGAACTTGGAGATTCGTAACGCGGTTGAACTATTAAATGGATTCACACAAATGTGTTGCAAGTTAAATTCGGAACTTCCAGCAGCACGATCAGGCATCAAGACGAGGCAGCTTAATTATACGAAATTATGTCATTAAGCATCATTAGAATAAACTTGTGTTCGGTTTGATTTGTTTATTCTTTTGATTTGCTTGCTCCTCAGTGCGTTACTCGGGTGTCGCTGTACATCTGCGATTCTCTTTTTTTTTCGTTGATTATGTTTTAAATTTGTTTTCGGTTCCAGTTGGACGATGCCGCGCTACAGCTGTATAAAGATGGCGACTATGGCTCCTATCTGGATCTGGACGCCTCGATCAGCGAGCAGCAGGAGGAATTCGAAGGCTTTCACACGAAGTGAGTACAAGAGTAAAACTTTCATTGTGCGCGCTCATTGTGTGATTAAAAACGCGCTGCTTTACATAACTTTAATTCCGTGCATTTTTGTCATGGGTGAGTTCGTTCGGCGGCTCATTCCACGCGTCGCGAGTTGCTTTATTACACCAATATCTAGAAAGGTCATTAGACAAGGTCTCGCCGCAAGAGTCCGGGCGCTACCGCCGCGCGTTTGTTAACGTGTCTAATGTTGTTATTATTATTATTAAACGGGCCATACAATAATTCATAATTAATGCGCTCGCCGTGCACTTCTTGTACATTCCGAACACACTCACACGCACACATCTACACACAACGCCTATTGTTAATTGCGTGCGGACAAGTACGAATTATGCGGCGAAGGACAATCGACGAAAATTGAATGGAACATAAATAATGCTAGATAATCGTATTATTGAATTGGTTTCCTGCTTCCAAATGATAAACATTAAATTAACGCCCGCCGACCAACGATCAACAACTCGAGGTAAGCGCCATCTGTTCACACGCTTGTGAACTTTTTTGCTACGCGGCTACCCAACGCACAAAAGCTCAAAAAACATAACCTACTTGCAATATTTTCGGATTCTAGTTAATGTATCTTGCACTCTGACACCTTTCTGTGTTTGTGTGTCGATGTTTAAGGCGACGTGTCCGCCGAGTGCAGGGATTGTCGGATGAAATATGAGTTGGCGTTTAATAATAGTCGCCTCGGATTCTCGACTTTTCCTAGTTTTCTTGCGGCGTGCTCCTTTTCGTTCGGCGTGGTTTTTGGTTTAGGCGGTGATGCCGCAACGCTAACGAATTTTGTAAAGCTATGAGAAACGTGCCGCGGCGAGTGCTCCAAATTGGCGCTATTTTCGTCAACTTTTTAAACATTACACAATATCGCTCATCGTTGCCGTAATCTGAGGATTTCGGGCACGCACTAATTATCCGGAACAATGGACACGATTAACTAACTTGGACACTTAAGCTAAATTTAAATATTTGTAAATCGCAAACATTAAAAGACTATTAAGTCGAGCAACACTTACGCTTGTCACTTTTTGTTTTCTTTTCCTCATTTTATTTAATTACGAAAAGTTGTTAATTGTACAAGTATTAGGTTAGAAAACGATTAGTTTTTTCTCATTTTATTTGACGACTTGTAGATTATTTTTTAATGTGTTTATGTAATAATACCGGTCGAGACGGTTGGATGCGTGCCACGTTTTAAAAATATGCGTTTTCGTAAAAACACGGTGCGTATTGCAAAATTTTTTTGTTGTGGCAAGCCAGTCGCGCAAATTCTCGCGAGCTTCAGTAGACAAACGGTAGGCAAACGAATTCGACACGCAACTTTTCGTGCAGCAAAAGGGCTCATAATTGCCGACAAACGATCAAATTGAAAACGTGATTTTCGCTGGAAGTTTAATGCAAGTGAACGATTATCTCGACTGTACGACGAAATGGGATATTTACTTAGTGATCTTGTTGCATACTCACGGTAAGAATTATTAAATTTCAAAATTTATGATGCATAAAATTAAAAATGCGTTGTGCAAAAAAATTAACGAAGATAGTAAATGTTAGATTCTTCACGTGCACATTTTTTCGTAAGTGATGAAAGATTTTTAATTATCGCGTATTCCGTCGTCCAGAGTAAAAGAAAAATGTGCTCACGTTTCGTTTTCAAAGCGTCGACCGCACCGGCAGAAAAAGTGAAATTGTCTTCATTAGACATGCATTTAGCATTTGCGCATTACACATTCTTGCGATACTCCTCGCATTACTAACGTCGGAGCTCGGGTTCCTTGTGGTAATAGTTGCGCTTGCGTGCGCTTTGATGCAACGTGCTTTTCATCGCAATTAACGATGACGGGCGAAGGCGACGCGAGACGAGACGCTAAATGTAAAATGTGCGTTCAACGAGTTCAATTGATGCGCGAATTTCGCGAAATCTGCATTTTTAAATAGCAAGAAATGCGAACGATGTCGGGAAACGAAGAAACAAATACTGAATTGCATTATATTGCTCGCATTCTCTCACAAGAAATGAGAAATGAGCTGATTTATGAGCAAACATTGCAAAGTTACTCGCGCCTATTATTTGTCATTGGGAAGATAAATCAACGCGCAATCATCGCTCGTAAATTGCGCGATTTAATTTCAAAGTGACAAAAGAAGTGAAATCTTTGTAATTATGTGCACATAATACACGCTTTACTTTAGTATATTTTTTATCTATAACTTAATTTATCGTAGCCATAACAATATTTATTTATTTTTTGTTGAATAAAAAGTTCAAAGATATTTTACGATGTTAAATTTTAAACATAAAAATAAAATATCCGCCCAAAATCTATATAAATTATAAAAACAGCACGACACCGACGTTTATTATTATAAATTGCTCTGTATTTTCGAATGCACAGAGTTATTTTCTCGCATCGTGATGAAATGTGAAAATCACCACTTGGCAAAACGTGAATCATCCAAGGCTGCAGGGAATATAATTATTTTTGTCACCGGGTTGGCTTTCAAGTTTTTCCGACAATTAGACACACGTAATATCAAAGTGCAACAAAATACTCGAAGCAATTAGTTGGCTTTTAATCAAATTTTTTCTTTGTCTGTCTAAACATTTAGATATATTTTGAGGACTTTGCAACAGTATTATGATTGACAGATACTTGACATTATCACCTGAAGAACAGGTTGTCATTGGTGATCAAGTGCATCAAATTTACATTCCGCTACTGTGTACTTTTGATTTACTTTTTAAAACTCCTGATATGTTTACATAGCGTGTTTAGCTAACACACACACTACTTAGCTAGGCCCATATAAAGATAAATAATTTTCGTGTGTGTGCACAATACGAGCTCACCGCGGCCGTCATCTGTTCTATGCCAAGCAGGGCCATTCTTCTTCGCGGTTCGCATCTTCTGCGGCAAGTTTGTAGCGACCTGCCACATCTTGCGTACGCGACGTGGATAACGGATTGGGAATGTGGGTCCCTCGGATTCGTGTCACCCGCCGCGGCGCGGTCAAACCGCCGCTGATACTACTGGCAGGGGCCGCGGCGGTGTGCGTCGCCGACAACGTCGATCTTTCGATCAGAGTGTAAACCGCGCGCGTCGACGAGACTCCGGGGTCTCGCACAACACCTGTTGCTCGGGCTTCTCTTCCGCGTGCGCGTTTTATTTCAAGTGCGACAAGTGACTACCCGGCTTGATTGAGTTCAATTAACATTGAATCAACGTCAATAAATTAATTAGAAACAATCGGTTTGATTATGCGCTCGTCTTCTGCTGTGTTAGAATATCATAATGGGTATTACCGACCCAAGCGAAGGTTGTTCAAGTGAAGAAGTATCAGATACATTGTCAGAGTGGTTAAATTCGCTGAATGCAAGATCAGAAGCTTTGTGGTTGCACCATCAGGAGGGTTCGTGTTGTTCATCGTACGATGATTCGAGTAGCAGCGGCGTGAGCGATGTCAATTCGCTCGAATTCGCTTCGTCGCAGAGCGAGTGCGGGTCAGGCAGCATCTGCAGCTCGAGCGGGTCGAGCGCGTCGATCGCGCGGTGTAAATCACTCGAAGACGTCGCTCACCCGGCTGCGATCGACGGAGATAAGCGGGAGCGCGACGCGCGACTGCCGACCGAATGCAGGTCTATAGCGCACCGCGACTCCGAGTTGCTCGTAGCCTTGACCGAGAACTGCGCGCTGGGACCGGTGTGTTACTTCTGCAGGTACAACAAGAGATGAAGACGAAGACCGAAGACGATCACTATACATATACAGATCGATACACTATAACTTGAACTCACGACTTGAACACGCGAGCAGACAATTCTCACATTCGTTAAGCGCGCCGCATCCGACGGAAGGATTAACTTTTAATTGATCGTAACCGTCCTTCCGTTTAAAAATGTTTGTATGCGAGTGTCGCCGCGCAAAGTGTCGCTTTGCGTCGGCGAAAAGTGAAAGTCGAAATTGAAACTCAATTGCAAGCTTTGCATGCATAATATCGCGATCGCCATTACACATTCTAGACATTCTAGAGATGCGGTCGATCAATAATTTATGTTTTGTTTTGCAGCAAAAAGAACTCGATCGTGCTTCGAACCCAATTGTCGGTACGAGTGCATACGATAATCGGTAAGTTTCATCGACAAAACGCCAAATTTATTGATGCTATTTTATCTTGTATTATTTTTATTCGAAATAGAAAAACTTCTAAATTCTGAGGGTAGAGAATTGCGGCGCGCGTTATTCTCGCTCAAGCAAATCTTTCAAGAGGATAAAGATCTGGTACACGAGTTCGTTCAGAACGATGGACTCGCCTGCCTCATCAAAGTCGGCTCCGAGGCTGATCAGAACTATCAGAATTACATTCTGCGTGCGTTGGGTCAGGTCATGCTCTACGTTGACGGTATGAACGGAGTAATGGAACACAACGAAACCGTCCAATGGTTATACACACTCATCTCTTCGAAGTTTCGCCTCGTCGTTAAAACCGCACTCAAATTGTTGCTCGTTTTCGTCGAGTACACCGATAACAATTGCATGTTGTTAATTCGTGCGGTGCACACTGTCGATTCGGCGCAGGGATTATTAGCGTGGAATAACATAATGACCCGTCTCAAAGACTTCGACTCGGCCGATACTGAACTGTTAATTTATGCAACCACTTTGATCAACAAGTGTTTGAATGGTGTCCCGGATCAGGACACGTATTATGACCAAACCGATGCGTTGGAAGAACAAGGCATCGAAAATATTATTCAGAGATACATGTCGAAACCCGGAACAGATTTGGATCTGTTGCAACAGTTTCAGATTTACGAGGCGGTTTTGCAATATGAAGATGGTGAAGATAAAACAACTTCCATTAAACACCTAGACGAAACTATTAGGAAAACCCTTAGAAGTCGCAAGTCTTTAGTGGATTCATCAGAGAGAAGAAAAAGTCGACGACATTCAACTGGTAACACTCCTTTGCATCATCAAAAGAAACCTTTGAAGGAGATTAATGTTGATGATGACGATGACGAGTCGTCTTCAAGTTCGCAATCCTCAAATGGCATGAATCATAACGCCCTTAATGGATCATATAAAGATCCTCATAAAGGTAAACTTTAAATTATAATTGCAAAAATTATTTTATGTATAATAATATTGTTTTAATAGTGAACGACGCTGGGGTAACACCTGCTCTACGCAGACGTCTTGAACGAGCTGAACGTCAACGAAGTTTCCTCAAAGAGCAGCAAGAAAATGCTAGGCTTATCAGCGGTGTTATTAACAAAGCAGATGAAATTAACTCCAATGGCAATTACACCAACGGTCTTCAACAACGTCTTTCCAATGGTAATAGTGTTCTAAATAGAAATTCACGAAAAGATCTGACTCCGTTTATGAACGCTGTTAATAAACTGGATACTGAAGAATCTGCGTTGACTAAACAACCATGGATCATGTACGAAAAGGAGCGTGATAGTTGCGAAGACACGAACGGCAACGAATCTGTCCCGAACAACAACGAAAACGAGCGTAACTTTGTGTTGTTGAAATTGAAGAAAGAAAACACCGTCAAGGATTTAACACAAAAGCTCGTTAACCAGAATATTATCCTTCATAGTCCACCAGCTGAGGATAACAAACTCTCTTGTATGGAAGGCATGACTGGTCTGATAAACAAAGCCAAAGAGGGATTGGCCAAATCCAAATCCCAATCTGTTGTGAAGAGTCCTACGAATGAAACAGCAACTCCCATTGGTACTCCAAAACCTGCTGAAGTGAAGAAATCCGAAAATGAGTTACGTTGGGAGGAATTAATCGCCAATATTAACCGACCACTGAATTTATGCGATATTGACTTCACTGATTTAGCAGAAGATGATGAAACTGATATATTGGCACCGGTTCATGTGGCTAATGGGGTACCACCACCCCCACCACCAATTGATTTATGTGGTAATGCGCCTCCACCACCACCACGAGTTTGCATACCACCTCCAGTACCGAATGCTCCAATGTATAATATGAGATCTAAACAAAGTGAGACAAAAATTCCTATCAAAAAGAACAAGAAGACCGTGAAGCTATTTTGGCGTGAGGTGCGTGAAGATCCAGTATCAACGATGAAGCTAAAAACAGGTTACATCTGGGATGAGCTGAATCCTGTCGCGGTGGACACTCAGAAGTTGGAGCATTTGTTCGAATCTAGAGCCAAAGACTTGATTAGCAAGGTAAATTTCCATATTATTTTTGAACCTTTAAAATATACTGATTTCATTAAATTCATTCATTTACTAATTTTATCGCGTTAAATGAAAATTGTATAATCGCTGTTGTTCATTCTTTTTTGGCAATTCTGTCTCCTCTTTCGCGTGCGCCCATAAATCGAGCAGGAGGTGAGTCTTTCGTTATGATGGCGTTTTAATGTTTTTTGTATTGTTTTTTAAACAAGTCTTTTTGTTTACTACAAACAAACGCAAATACAAAAGGAAATTCACAATTTTTATCAAACAAATGAATACAATACAACATGAACACGAGTTAAATTGCATGAAATTGTTCATCTGTTTTGGCACAACTAGCATGCTATTTTAATTTTATGATTGTAACGTCCATGTTGTAGACCGTAAATGTTTGATGTCGAATTTTAGATTACATGACAACTGTTACCAGATTATGCGCATTGTTTTACTATCAATGTTTAATGTATGTGTGTAATGAGAAAAAAAATTGACTTGATGTTTAAATTATAGAAACAACAAGAGATTAACAAGAACAAAGAGATAATAGTGCTCGATCCGAAGCGGTCCAACGCAATCAACATTGGTATGACTAAATTGCCTCCACCACGGTCCATCAAAACCGCCATTTTGAAAATGGACGCCACAATTATGAATCGCGAAGGCATCGAAAAACTACTTACAATGTTGCCAACTGATGAGGAACGCACTAAAATTCAGGAAGCCCAAACCGTCAATCCGGAAATTCCTTTGGGAAGCGCCGAACAATTTCTGCTTACCTTATCATCGATTTCCGAACTTCCGGCTAGATTGAAGTTGTGGGCATTCAAATTGGATTTTGAAAACATCGAACGTGAAATTGCTGAGCCATTGATGGACCTCAAGCAAGGTTTTGAAATATTACGAGCGAATAAGACCTTCAGAGCTATTCTGGGAACATTGCTCTCAATAGGCAATTTTTTGAACGGCAACGAAGTGAAGGGTTTTCAAATCGAGTATTTGTCGAAGGTACCTGAAGTCAAGGACACGGTGCACAAGCATTCACTGCTGCACCATTTGTGTCACATCGTAATGGAGAAGTTTCCGGATGCCAGCGATCTTTATTCAGAGGTATTAAATAAAACTAAGGTAGAAAAACAGGAAATCTGATTTTCTCTGTTTCAGATTGGTGCAACAACGAGAGCTTCGAAAATAGACTACGATGAGTTGACGCAAAATATTCACAAACTCGAGGCAGACTGTAAGGCCTCTTGGGATCACTTGAAGCTGATAGCGAAACACGATGGTTTGACGATGAAAACGAAGATGTCGGAATTCCTGGCCGACTGCGCAGAGCGCATCATTCTTTTGGGCATTATACATCGACGAGTTCTCAACAGGTTTGTGATGATTTTACAAACTCCGTACTCTAACAGAATTTCTAATAAATGCAAATGTATACGTAGGTTTCATCGATTTTTGCTTTGGCTCGGGATTCCATTAAGCCAGATCTCCGATACGAAGCCGAGTGAGTTCTGTCGCATTGTCTCCGAATTCGCTCTGGAGTATCGCACCACGCGCGAACGCGTCCTGCAGCAGTTGGAGAAGAAGGCGAATCACAGAGAGAGAAACAAGACACGTGGAAAAATGATCACAGAGGTAATAATTAAATTACTATTTTTGTATACATATTCCTTTAAAACATAAACTTGTACTATTATAGACTCCAAAGTTCAGATCCAAAGAGGACAAAGCAGATGCCGAACTACGACAGTTGTTGGGTAGTGACTATTCGGACATGGAGAGTCTCCAAGGCACGCTGCCATTGCGTCGACACAAAAAAGATGCGAACCGCTCGTTCATGGGCACGCTCAATGGGCATTTAACAGACGGCGACGACGAGATACTTGAGAGTTTGGTCAAAACCGCAACAAAGACACCGTCAACGAGAACAGCGCCTAGGGAAAGAAAACGCACGCGGCACGCGGATAGAAAATCTCGTAAGTTGCTAATAATGCTTTTCAAAAAACGCTATATTGGTGATGGTCGTCTATTGTATTCGTATATTTAAATATTTAGTTAAACGATCGAGAACGAGAGAGAATCCTTTCGGTCATCGCGATTCTCCTTAAATACGAAATGCTGGTATGTGTAGTTTTGGTGTGAATCGATTTAGAGTTGTTTTTGCATGGTAGAATTATTTATGTATATAGCGTATAAAGTAAATGTTTTCGTTTGTTGCTGCGTTTAAAGAACGCTTGTCGATAGTGTTTGCTACTAACCTTGATAACGAATTGAGATGGTATCGATGCATATTTTTCAGTGCGGCGTACGTTGAAGAACGGCCTGACCGAAGAGGAGAAGAAGCACCTGTCCGCGTATATCAAAGGCTACTCTTTTGCTGGATGATCAACGGCAACACTCACTTATTAATTAATAATTTGTTCTTGTTACTAGATACTTATCAATTTCACTACTCTATCACAACCGAAGTGCGCGCAGCAACCTCACCGACGCGGGTAAACGCGCGAAAGTATGACACGTGCGCGCGCGCATTGTGTGTTAACTCGAGATGAATTGGTACCCCTGCGTGCACTTCGGAGGTTTTCGTTAAATAATTTATTATGATAATGTGATACGAACCAATGCTATTGTACGAGCAAACTGCGTTTTTCTTTATACTATTTTATTGCCTAAGATGTCTCGACTACTTACAACCTATCTAGGTATAGTGTTTGTTTATATTTTCGGCGGTTGTACACTAAAAATTAATAATATTGATATGAATGTGACTAGTTTCACTTCCGAATAGAATAAACATTACTGTTGTTACTGATGTTTTGTTTCTTACCTAGACAACCCAATGTACCAAAACTTTAATAATTCTTTTTGTGGTCAAAACAGTGTAAAAATGATTATAAACATTGAAAAGAATGTAGAATATTCGTAAACAAGTGATGCATGAGCAAAAGTTAATTAATCACGTTTTTATGATGGTTATAAAAGAAAACGATTAGTTTAAAAATAGGATGTGAACGCTGGTAATAAAGGTATTGTTGTTTTTTTTTATAAAGTTTCGTTATTAAAACAGCAACAAATTCACAAACTGCAACAAATTCCACATGCACACCGTTTTTGTTTCTACGCACATCTAAAGATCGTAACACATGCTCGTTGCCAAACTCGTTCATTTGCTATCATATCATTATTTCATCGTAAACTTTTTACACTTAAGATATGTATCGATATAAACATAAAACATAAGTACCAGACCTTCAACACATGAGGAATAAATATTTCATCGTATAAAAATCGTTCTTAGTTCTTACAAGTTAAAACAACTGGTTAGAAATAGGTAGTGTGAAAAGTGGAAGTGTATTTGCAGGATTCGAAGTAGGACGTTCAAGATTGTTTAAATAAAACAGAAAATATCAATGGAACCGCGAAAGGACGAAACCATGAGCTTAATATCCTATTCAGTCGGACATTGTTTATGGAAGAATGACGAAGGACGCATTAAAGTTCGTCGTGTTTGGGCCCTGAGAATTCATCGTGCGAGATAAATCCGTTCTTATCCTTATCCTCATGCTGGAAGATCTCCTCGACGAGTTTATCGTGATCGGCGAGCATGTTCTTCACCTCTTCGGATTGCACATCACCTTCGGCCGCTACCATTTGTTTCTTCAAGTAATCACTCACCTAGAAAAGAATAAAAAACATAAATTTCACTTCAGTACTCACAGATATTAAAACACTGAACATCGCGTGGAAGCAACATCAACAAATGAAAAGCGTGAATAAAACATTGCGTGAACTAAATAAATAAAACTAGTAATGAGTAATGAGAACAAAACAAAAGCAAAGCTAATCCTTACGAAGTCTTTTACCTCCTCCCTGCTGAGCATATTGTTCTTGTCAAGATCAATCTCCTTGAAGACATTTGTGGCAGGCGCAGAGTCACCAATGTTGATCAATTCGACTTCAAAGTGAAGAGTAGCTCCGCCAGGAATAACACTGCCGGCTCCACGATCACCATAACCCAAAGAAGGTGGAATAACAAGTTTACGTTTTTCACCAACGCACATGTTGGTTAAACCTTGGTCCCATCCTTTGATGACTTGTCCAACACCCAATTGGAATGTGAATGGTTGATCTCTATCAAAACTGCAAATAAAAATATAAACATTACTAAAGTTCGCTGGATGCAGGAAACTTTCGTTTTTGTACATCACATAAACATCCATAGGTAATATTATAGAAAGTAAAGCCCACGAACTTTTTGCACGTTGCAATGGCACGATGACATTAAAAGCATTAAGAGCACCATTGGGGAAAGTCGCGAGACGCTTCCGCACGTATTTTATGATTATTGCCAACCAAATGAATTCAACGCTGAAGTTTAGGCCGCCAGTGCCGCCTAATGTGCACGGTGCAAACGAAAGTTTGCTAATGAGCGCGGGTTTTGTCATGAAGACGTCTTCGCGTAACGCTTAGCAAGCCGGAACTACATCCAGCGTCCATCACGTCGTAATCACATTTCGTTTCATCATCTATAGCGTAATCATTATGTACGAGAATAAAGATGTTACAGAGGTAACAACAGGAAGTAAACATACCAAACGCTGCGTGTTTAGTATCGAAATAAATGTCTTACTTTCTTTGAACCTTCACATAATTTCTTAGGATTTTCTTCTGTTGCGTTTTAGCGAGTTTGCCGCCGAGAAAATCGACGTGGTTTACAACCTGTTTTTCGTATTTTTGTAGGCAACTGAGTTCATTACTAATGTAAGATATGGGATTTTAGGTTTGCCGCCAGTTTGATCCCCCACCGACCTCCACAAATTTCGGTTTTAAATAATTTACAGCAATTGGGATGTGGAATGTTCGTGAATTCGACCCGGCGCAATTCGTTTCCACTGTGGCGCGCACTAAAGTTGAAGAAAGTCGTATCCGTGCGTGCTCGCAAACATATTACATTTGCTGATGAGCAGGTAAATTCCGACATCTTCGATTTCTCTTAAATTACTTTTATTTTTCCGTGCACGTAATTTGCTAACTGCAAGGTGAATTATCTAAATATAAAATCAATTTGTAAAAAAAGTTAGTCGCAAATCACAATTCAATTTTGTTCCACAAGTTTTGAATACTTATTTGTTTACCTACAGTTTCTAACTTTTTCGTTCTTCTGGCTGGCGCTGAGCCTTTTCTTATGCGCCGGTTTTAGCGACTTCTCAACCGCCCCGAAATACTTCGATATGCATGACTTTCTTTAATATTTAATGCGGTCTTCTGGTTTCTGCACACTGTCATCGGTGTCGGCTCGCCGTGCGATGTCATCTCGTTTCCGTTCGCAGTTAACTTCGCGTAGGCACGGAAAGAAATAAGAAAAGTGCGCCGCGACGATATTCCCACAAAGTTGCGAAAGATGTGCTACGGGTTCGGCTCCAGCGCGTCCCAGTCGCGTCGTTACGCAACAAGACGCCATCTTTAAATATTAAAACGCCGCACGCGGCTTTGCGACCGAGTCCAACAACGCTACTGCCAAAAATAAAGAAAACTTTTGAGCGATGCGAGAATGCGCCTTGCAGTGCCAAATGGCTCGTCTCAATTGTGCCATTATTTGATACAGTTTTATAACGGCGTTGAAACGGAAAAAAATTCAAAAAAAGTTCAAAGCCGCATAAAAAATGCAAACGTGGACTTTTGCAAAAGCGGTTAAAAGTCGCCGATGTGAGCTCACAATGAGCGCACGCCAAATTTATTTTACGACTTCCACTAGACAAGAAATAGAAACGAAAAACTTCTGACGTGACGAGAAGTCGAGGAATACGGAATAAAAAATAAAGAGTGCGATTGCATCAAACGAAAATGCCAGACAGGCTGCGAAAGCAAAAAAAAACTAAAGGGCGCACCGGTAGGCGCCTTTTGACCGAAGAGACCACTTTTCTTGCCTTGCCTTCACTTATTTTCCTGCAGCAGAAGCGGCACTTGTGTTTCGTGCTTCGCTTGCGCTTTTGGGGTTGCGGGATGCCTCGATTGAGTCGTTCTGTGTCAGCCTGCGAGCAGCCCTTCGGGCTTTGATTGTGCACCGCTAAATATGCAGATCTGACATGAAATGAAACGAGGCGCAACAAAAAATGTTAATAATCTACACACATTTTCTTGTAAACTTTCTAAATAATTGAAATAAACGTCAAATCGATATTAACACAAATTTCATTTACTCACTTCATAAAGTTAGCAAAGTCTCGCGTTTATTAAATAAAGTTATTAAACGACGAGCATATTAAGTGCTCAATTTTCGACGTCGCATCAAATTAGACTTGCTCTTTGCGTGGCTAATTCACAAAAAAAATGTACCAATTAAATGATAACCAAGGCAACACGTAACATTGATGCAGATTTGGTGCTGGCTTTTTAATTTCAACATTTTTGCGTTTACTTTAGATCTTTTAAATGACTGAGGTAGAATGCTCAGCTTCAAAAACTTCAAAGGCGAGCCCGAACATTAATTAGGCCTCTAATTGCTGCCCCAACGGGAGGCGGAAACGACCAAGGCGCGATTTACTAAATCCACGCGCAGCGCTCGCAAGAACTGAACAAACTTTCCGATTAACAGCAAACTTGCAACGATTCCGGTCTGTTTGTTCAACTATCTTATTGCAGCCGCCAGAATGTTCTACCTTTATTATACTTGTACCTTAAGACCATTCAGTGCAAAGATACCGAACAAGAGGAAAGGAAAACGCATATTTTGCGTTTGTTAATGGCCGTGAATCAAAACTTTATTATGTGGCGACATCTATGAGCGAAGTTGGCAGAACTAAATATTATACAAACTTGAACAAGAATTTACAGTGGCAAAATCACTGGAAATCATTTCTTGTTAAAATTAAAAAAAACGAAAACGAGTTTATTTACGTAGTGATTATTGTTTGTCCAGAATGCAAATCGTTCTAACTTCGTTAATCATAAATTTGCTTTCGCTCGGTTTAAAGGACCACCGCCCCCTAATCAAATTACCGTCACGTCACAGCAAGTTCCAAACAACTTAAATGCATTATTTCAACATCCCGACGACATTAACGCGAAGAAGACCCAATTACCTAGCTTAAATCAAGTGTATAGGATAAGTACGAAAACAAGTAATATTATAAATGTATACCAAACTGTCAAAGTCTGCTTAGACATGTTGCGCTTTGTAATGGAATATTTTGCACTTCGGTTGGGACTCTCCACGCCGGCGAATCAAATATTGAAAGCGCAGACACGACGTGCCCCCGTCGGAAGAAACTTCCGGTACAGGAAGAAATAAAAGTCGAGACAATTGACTCTCTGCAGCCGCCGCAGCAACGCGGACGAAGTTACGAGTGCGACCATAAACTGCTACCGCATGTGTTCCGTGCCCATCCTCCCCTTTTCCCCCTAGCTTTATGAACGTGAATTATAGAAAAACTTGGATGATATTCCAAGGTTCACGTGTTCGCGCAAGCGTCACCAACAAGTATGCCAAAACAGTTGAAACTTTAAACAACTCCAGCCGCAAAATGCAAACAGAAAACAATTCAGAAACAGAAAACTGCGAGAAAAAAATAGTCTCCTACAATACGAGTACTGAAACTCCAAAATTGCGAATCAAATTCAAAAAGTTCTGGAGGAGTTGTGTGTTTAAAATCAGCGTGCATTTTACAGGTGAGATTAAATTTTCACTGTTTCAGCATAGAAACAAATCAAAAGTTAATACTATCCTGACGCGCACATGATAATAACAAACTATTTGTTGAACTGTGTTGAAAATTAGATTAAACTATGTATTCATGAAAACTTACACGCTTGTATATGGCATCAGGTGACATACAATATTGTCTTTCTAACAGTGTGCAAACTGATGCGCTGGCGACATTCGAAGAACCATAAAACACGACGCTTCCTGATTTGAACAGAGCGTACAGCATGGGTGATAATGCGTTGCAGCTAACCGCATGTATATATCGGCGGCGGTGGTGTGTCGGTTCATCTGGAAAGCGTCGAATAGTCGGCTGCGGTTGCGGTGGAAAGGGTCGTATGGTCGACGCAATATTTCCCCAGGGCGTCCTACATTAGCGTTTATTGCGAATGACAAATCGAGCGCGCGCCAGCAGCCACGCGCCGCCACCACCACCCTTCTGGTGTCAAATGCTCAATGAAACTTTAATTATCTTATAAAGAACGATAACATTATACTCTGCAGATTTTTGAAAGTAAAATCTAAGAAAATTGCAAATAAAACAAAACATAACATGAAATATACGGTGCTTTTTGCTGGAGTAAAAGCAATGACAGATTTTATATCGTCTCAATTTATTTCTACTTTCACGCCCGATTAAAATGCATAGCGTACGGTGGGTGTGAGCACGCAACAAATTGCAGTGTGTCATCGTTTGCCTAGGAAGACAAATTCAAAGAATATGCGATAAAACGACGCACTGTGAAAGCTCGAATAAGTGGAAAAGAAATGCACAGCGATAATACGGAATATCACTTTAAACGGTGTTGCTCAAGTCCCCCCTGCTATTGGTGTGGGCGCACAAGAGGGCGAGTTATCATCGTGTATGTACAAATGCAACAATACACACACCCACTCGTGCAAATGCAGCGCGGCGGAGGCGGCAAACGGCGGCATCGGCCGCTGAAAAACGCTATGAATAATTTAGCACCGCAGAACGTGCGCGACTCGCGTGCCCTTTTCCGCTGCGGCGCAACGATGTTACGGTTTTAACGGCGGTGCAGCTGCGGAGCACGAAAAATATTCGTTCCATCATTCTTTTCCTGTCTGACATTTGTTCATTCCTATGCGGAACCAGCCCCAAATGTGGTGCTTTTTTGCTCGGATTACACCGGTGATCATCCGGAACTGATTATCTCGCATTATTTACTGCAATAAAATTGTCATAACAAACGATTACCGACGAACCACAAAAATTTAAAAGTGAAAAAATATTATTTCATGATATTTACCACACAATTCTTGTTTTAATTAAAGATCTGTATGAAATCAATTTATATGATGAATTATATTGTTCATTATAATCAAATTGTGCGTGCATTTGTTTGTATTTACCCTGGCAATGATATTTGCGCATGGAAAATCGCACATCGCTGTAGAAATAACGATGAAATTGGAAAATAATAAATCACAGAGGCCGTCAATCTATTGTTGATTGTTTCTAAACAAATTTACAAAACGTCTACTTTATTTTAAAATCCCAGTAGTACTGCGTACAATATTTCGATTAGTTGTCAAATGCATTTTAAAAATTCCACGATATATTAATTTAAAACGCAAAAACAATATTTGATTAATAATTGAATCTCGTGTGGTTTAATAAAAATTTATTCAATATGGTTGTAATTCGCACCCCAAACCGAGGCGATGGACGCGCAAATGGCCTACAAGATTCAGAGGCTCTTCCTGGTGATAGCGTATCACTCACTATGCGGCATGATAAATTTAAACAAGAAACTGCTAACGCTACTAATCCTAATTGTGATCCAGGACAAGATAACAAACCCATTGAGGAGATAACAGAGCAGAGAGCAGCTCAACCACCACAAAATCCAAGATCCAGATGGACCGATGTTAACCATCAGGCTGCGTATCAAGAACAACCCGCAGTTCAACCTCAGGTCCAACAACAGGTCCCTAATCAAAATCAACAATGGTCTAATCAAAAAGCACAAGAACACATGTGGCAAGAAATGCAACGACGTGACATGACACGACAGGCCGCTAATACTGCGACAATGCTTCAATACAATTCAGGAATGGAGACCCCAAATATTAATCCACCCGCGGGTTATGCAGGAAATGGCCTACCACCAAATAATAAATCATTTACACCCTTCAACCCAAAGAATTCACCAATGTTGACTAATGCACCCAATGTTGATTTGCAACAGAATTCGATGGCTAATGGTCTGTTACAAAACCAACAACGGCACCAAGTCGCATTAGACAATACCTGGACTGGACAAGCTCCCATGGTTGAAGAGCCTGTGGAAGCTCCTCCACCACAACAATTTGAAGTTATACCATCAACATTAGGAAAGCCTCCGCAGTTTATCATGCGCAACCCTCTCAAACCTCCAGATGTTCAAGGATATCCTGCACAACAAACTCCACAAAGGTACTGTCCCAGATATCCTGGTTCGCCAAGAGGTATGATGCAACCTGGAATGATGATGCCGCAGATGATGGGTCAAAACCAAGGCATGCCTCAAATGGGTATGACTCAAATGCCACAGGTCATGCCACAACAAATGACAATGCCTGTTGATTACATGGCCCAAGCGCAACAAATGCAACCGGCCTCTTATCCATATGGATATGGCAATACAACACAAGGGAACTTCAGTTATCAGCCAACTTACCCAAGTAATCATGGCATGCATGGACAAAGTGCGAATACTACAGTGTGTCTAAATTCATTCAATTGAACATGTTCCGCATCATCAAAAAACTCATATACACAACTAAATTATTTCGCATATAAATTGTACTTATAGTGAACAATAAAAACTTTATGTTTAAGATTGTGTATTGTATGTATTTATATAAGAAATTACAACTCCCACACATGGTGTCGAATGCTAACGCATTGCATTGGAATTGATAACGCAATTTTCACACCAGTTACGGAGTTATTGCATCTGCATTGTTAATTTTCTATTACACGGGTCCACGTGCTGAAACACTGAGGGTGGAAATAGCATCAACCGCGTAACCCGCTCCGCACGTGTTGAAACTCGTCGCACTAGCGGCTTAAAACATTTACATCATTTGCGCTGTCTGCTCATGACGTCCAGCGGGGTTTGATTGCGGTCGGTGGTTTATTGCAGCGAATAAAAGATTAAATTTACATCATTTGCACGCGCATGAAAGCAATAAAAGAAAAACACATCACCTGATGAATGAAGATTTCGGACATGTGATTCGGCTTTAATAAGGATTTGTGTGGTGATTAATGAATAATAAGACAAGTAGTAGACGACGCTAGATTTAAGTGAAGATGGATAGGAAAGCAAGAAGTTTTATTACATGACTTCCTGAAGGTCGTTGTCGCAGCAGTCGTCAGACAAGACGGAGTAGTCAACTTAATTCTTTATGAGACTGTCGCCGCCGGACCGCATTCGAATACGATTTCCTTTCCTCGGCAGGGCAAAGACGTACAGGTGCACTTCTTAAATCATCTACCGAGTTTATGAAGTTTTAAGTAGGGGTCGCGTGACTTGGTGTCGAGTGGCAAATTCTTCGGACAAAAAACAGAATAGGGCGTCACATCCGCCTACACAATTTTTCGCTTAGACATTAATATTCATTTTCGGTAGAACGTCAAAAAACAGTCAAAAAGTGCACAACGCGTGCAAAAAAGTTTCCAACGTCTTCCAGCTTCCCACGAGAGGAAAAACTGCTGGAAGAAGCGGCTAATTAGCACGCCCCACCAAAGGGCATGAAAGTACAAAGTACCAAAAGTGGACGAGTGCGAGCGCGTGGTGGGCAGGAAGAAAGTTGAATTGGATTATTTATTCACACTTTCACATTTATCTGTCTCTATAGTGTGCAAAAGAGCAGGTATACAATGTAACTGTCATTCCAACATATTTAGTAGAGTAGTGTAAACATGTTACACATGTATTTTATACTGAGTGTGACAAAAACGAAACGACAGCAAACAACTTCTTTAATGTTTTATCATTTAAAACAAAGAATAATAATTTTTTGGTAAAATGAAATTTAAACTTTTTGGGTTGTTGTATTTATTTTTTTGTTAAATTAATTATAATAAACAGCCAGTACGATAGAATATTCCTAGGCGACTAAGCAAAACGCGCAAAGCGTTCAGAACAGAGAAACCCCATTACATATCCCCGGAGGACAAGTTACAAATCCTTGGTGAGGAAAGTGAGCAAGAGCAGGAGTCGTCGCGGCGAGCATATCGCCACCCCTTGGCGTCGCGACGCCCGACCGTCTCACACGAACCTGTAAACTGTAAACTATTTCGCCTCTTGATCCGCCGACCATTTTTAACGGGCTGTTTGTTTTGCGCTGCGTTTGCATCGCATTCATAACTCTCTTATACAACAATTCCAGCAGCCACCAGCGCACCAGCATAGCAAAAATAATATTTTACGCTTTCATCGTGTTACATTCAGCATCACTTGAGTCTTTGAGCGATGCTTCAAAGTGCAAACAGGCTAAAAGCGCAGTGCGGCGAAAAAGCGATGCTGATTCTGCCACACGCTCGAGACATCGCGGAATGCGCGACTACATTTTATTTCACTTGTCATACACGCCGACGACGCATAAAAAAAAACAACAAATATTATAAAAGTGATACGTGTTGCGGCAAAGAAGGAGGGCACGTCAACGCTCCCTTCGCACAGGGACATTTTTCATGCTTATTTAGTACAAACTTATTTTTTTGTAAATTTTCTGACCCATGATAAGAGCCCATCCGTGTTTGAGTCAACTTTCATGTGTTATCAGCTAACAGTATTACTCAATTGGGAATTATAGTAATCTAAAAATTTCATAATACGCGCCGGATAAATATATAGTATATGGGCGTGTAAACTCGATACTATGTAGCACGACACCCGAGTATGGAGGCTAAACAAACTCGGTAACACTCGTAACTTGAACGATAGTAAGTAATTTCAAACTTTTTAACTTTAAACATAAATAACGAAAGTCTAAAAATAAAACCAATTATATTTGCGTTAGGAGTATTGGGTACATATTTATGTTTTAGGTTAGTTTTCTTTGAAAATAGGTTAAAAAGCGTTGTATTTGCACGATTAACGCTTCAACGAATGTTGAAATAGGGTGCCGATTGGTAACAACTCGTGCGAACAACGAGCCAAAGACTTTTATCAAATAATCACGAGATCAAACCCGTCCCCCAGTCACAGCCGTATGTTTACATTCCATCGCAGTTCGTCGTTTGATTGAGAGATTAAAAAGATGAATGACAATTTCATCACCACGCAAGCGCTGCACATTATTAAATTAAATCTTCATCTAAGTTTAATCTTTTTAATTGAGAAGTTGAACAGAAAAGCAAATATTCCATTCAATACTTCGATTCATTGTAATCCGTCGAAGATACAAAAGAAAGGAGAGAATTGAAAAAATAAAAAGAAAATATGAAAGTTTTGCAATGTGTAGACGTAGTGTGTACGTTGTTTTTTTTTTCCTGCAGTTTATATGGTATGCCACAAATGCGCGGCGAGACTCGCTTTCAATTAAACGAATGACGTGTCGTTTTCTCTTTTTATTAAAATTTAATTTACGACTCATGCTCACGTCACAGTAACTAGTTGTTTCGCTGTTATTATTACGTGTAATTGTCCAAAACAATAAGTAGGTATTCAGGACAAGGAGGATGTACCATTAACACCAGCAACTTGCAAAAATACAAAAAAGTAACTGCAGGATATGAAGACATATCAATTCCGTGGCTTTTCGCGCTTCTACCAGCGTGAAACATGTATGACTTTAATTTGTATTCATGTGGTATATAATTGAGTTAACAGCGTTACCGTTCTTTCGCTTCACGTCACTTTAACTGCGGCTCATTTCGGGCCTGCTCCGTTTAATGAACTTTTTTCGACGCGCATTTTACGCTCGCGCGAGTGTAATTTCTTGGTGGAATAGCTATCAAAGTTTGTGGGTCCACCGCCCAATGTTTTCAGTTTACTTTTGACGCACATGATCGCTAAAGATGTTAATATTAACGGTACATTTAACTTTTGTCTTTTGTAACCATTTGGTTACCAATGACATGTCATTTTTTTGTATTTTTGTTTCATAGATAATTTAACTTACCTGGAATCAAATTTGGTGCCGTCTGTGAGGGTACCCGTGTAGTGCATCGTCAGCATGTCACCATTCTTCGACTTCACCTCGCAACCTTCGGGCACGCTGACGACGTCAATCTTCAGCTCCTCCTTATCGCAGTTGGCGGCCGCCACCAAAGCGACCAAAACAATCGCGACGAATTTCATCTTATTGGTAACAAATAAAACTGAACACGTTGCTACTGTTTGTCAACACACTTGTGGTGTAGAGAAGAAAAGTTTGATGCGCGAGACGCGAAACTCGGCGACGACGAGACGACGCAAACAGTGCTGTCGGCACGGTGACCCGTTATGCAGTGCGCTCCAAGTTTCAAGTCAAGTCGCGCCGCGCTGGTGCCACGCTACAGTTTGATCGCGAGGTGAAAACACGCAGCACACAGCAACAGAGAGACGTGGCCAACGATACTCGAATCGCGACTATCTCTCGACCACCTCCACGCATTTAATGTTCTATCTTCCATCCTTTAGATCGTCCGCGTTCGTGCGACTCCGCGTCACTTCACTACACCACCCGACGCAGAAAAAGCCACAGGTCGGTCGGCGATTGGCTTGATCCAAAACTTCAGCGCGTTTTGTTTTATTGTTTTCGCTGTGTTTTTCACGCTCCGATATTTGTCGAATTGTCATAACACAGACAATAGCCATAAACTAGTTCAATTAAGAAGAGAGTGTTTGTAAAACAATCGAAACAAGCTGATTTATCGCCAATTACCTATCATCATTCCAGCGCGCAATGAACAATGTGCTAATACGCACTCCGATTCGCGTCGAGAGTTTGGCGAAAAGGAATTAGTTCCGTTATCGGCCGTTACATGCAGATCCACGGAGTGCATATTCTTGTTGTTTAATTATTGTACGATTCGCAACGCAGTGCAACAATGCATGGAAGCGACTAATATAATAATAAATCGTACTCTTAATGAGCGCTTGCCACGCGCCGCCAACATGCAGCGCACATTATGCCGTTGGATAATTATTTAACTAGCAGTTAAATGTTTCGCGTGCGTTGCGAATTTCGACACATTGTTCACCGTTGACATTTCATAAAAAACAACTCCATATCGAACCAAATTAAAATTTTACAAGTTGATAACCTTGTGATCGAATTTTTGTGTTGGATTTTTGACTGTGGACTATAAAATTCAACTTTTACTTTCTTTTTTCTTCGGGAAATCGTATTTATAGCTTTAGTAAATTGACCGCTTATTCATTATGAATATTGTGACCTTAACCGAATAACAAAGAAAGCCATCATAAGTATTATTAGTAATTCCTGTCAAAATCCAAGAAATATTTTGTCATCTATCATGACATTTGCCTAAATGACTTTCACTTTCGAAGATGATAATCAAAGTGCTGTTTTAATGACTTTTCATAAGTAAATTTATTGTTCCTGCGAAAACTAGGCAAATATTCTGCGAATATTCAAACATAGCGCAAGTGAAAAGAAAGAAAGTTATTTCCAAATCAATTTTGATTTATCTTTCGTGAAAGTGAGAGCGCTACATCACCACAAAACCACAAACGTCATATATATCAATCTAGGCATGACCATACCCATCAACTTACTCAAGGAGCAACTTATACTTTAATCATATGAAAATTTCTCTTCAAAAATTAAACCGGAACTATTTACTCCAGCATCTCGGCGTCATACAGATTACCAACCATTACTTCATCATTTTATAATTTTATAATGATACCTCTTGGTGATTGACGTCAATCATCACGTCAAATGAAATTTTCGCTCATCTTTTTTTGAAATGTTGTGATGTTTTGTAATTTATCACAAATTTTACCTTTTACGCATATATTGTTAAAATGATTACCGAAACTTTCTCTAATTTTTGTTGCATGAACGCTGAGTTGTTATATTCCGTGGATTGCGTGGCTGTGGATTGTAGGTTGTGAGCGAAAAAGTCGTTTTTAAATAGTTAATGAAGCAAGCTTGCGAGGGTGTGCCACCATAAATCAGGCCAATATTTCGATCCACGTTAACTGCACGTACGTGGCTGGGTACTTCCGATCGCGCGCCGATCTTTCTATCTTTCGATACTTGCGGGTGGATGATCCCGAACATCATCGGTATTCAACGCAGGTGCCTACCGGCGCAAAAAGAACGAAACTCGACTACGCGAACTCCACTCGGACATAATTCACTAATCTGTTTTATAAATTTTCCAACGCACGCCGGATGACTCTCCATCATTATGTTCACTGGGTGCCTGCGTTCGGGAAACTGGAGAGAAAACCCGTAATGATTTTCCAGCGTAGATAATTTACAATAAATATAATAATACCTACAAAAAATATAGAATCAATAAATAAAAATTGACAGATTAAAATATTATAAAGTCGCATGTGAGATGAGAAGATTAATGATGTGAATAGGATGAAGAATTCAAGTCCTGATTGAACTTGAACGCTTGAAGGTATGCAGATGAAGCTGCGTGAAGGAAAACTGGAAAGAGAGCTTTGCGGTTGCTTAAATCTTTGATATTATGCAAAAACTAAAGCCAAAGACTAAAGTCGAAAGATCACCGGATGTTAAGGCCTTATACGCTCATAATACTCTCTTGATGTCTTCATGTTCTTCTTCCCCAATAGTACGCTACTTTAATACACCAGCACGGTGTATGGGTGAGTGCAGGAGTGCATTTTCAATAATTCACGGCGCTCACCTTTTTAACTCGACGCTTTCCCATACATAATTAACGCACTCAAGAGTGGAAAATTCAATTTGTTCACATTAGAACCGCACTGCCTACTGGTACATTAAACTTTTCGACTTTTATTTATTCACACACGGAAATGCAAAATACAATCGTTCATTATTTATTTATATAGGCTATAATTAAAATGCAAGTTTCGTGCGCGTCAATTTAATTTCACCAATTGTGGGTGCTTGGGCGAACGCACAATCGATAAACAGAGTGTAAATTTAATTTCGTAACGCGGGTCAATGCTGAGGCCAGTACAGCGCGCTTTGCTTTTAATCAACAATAAATAATCATGTTCCGCGTAATCGTAAACAAACGGATTTATCAATGCGCCCAATGTGTCCGCACGACGTGTCGCGATGCTTTGTTATTGCAGCCGTGGACGGAGGGGCGATGACAACATAATTTCGGCAGATTGCGTCGACTTTATGACTTTATGTTTTGTTAGCTTCGCGAATATCGAACTAATTATAATCGAAAATTTTAGAGCGCGCCGGCCGTGTTTATCGGCAGAGCCACAATAACAATATGATTATCAATCACGATGCAATTGTACAAGCGATGAATTTGCTTTGCATTAAAATCATTAATTGGAGGCATAACTAGGGAGTTATCTTGAAACACATAAATATTAATGCTTAATGAGTGCATGTTATGCCACTAATTTGATAAATATGTTATAGACTATGATGTAATACGAAAATATCATCAAGTGCTTTAAAATGATTATTTTTATAACATTTTGTAAATATTTCTTCAAAAATAAACTGTTATAAATCCGATTCTGGCAATACATTATCAAACTTATCATTAATATTATCTTATCTTATCTTAAAATAAACACAGTTTGCAAGCGATAATCAACAATTTTTCATTCGGATGCTCAGTCCTCCTGAAATTGCAACTAAACTTACACAAACCGTTGTTGAGCATTGTGTAAAGGCTGTAAACCATCGAGAGCATAATCAACATGAGTGAATTAATGGACACAACACCAATTGAACAAGTCTCGACAAACGCTTCCCAACTCAATTCCAATAACATGCGAATGATGGAAACGGCACAATCAAATTCATCGCCTAAAAGCGCATCATCATCATTAGCAGCGAATCACCCAAATGTAACATTTCGTGACAAAAAGTAGGTTTTAAAATAAATACTCTACTGTATTTTAACAAAATATTACGTTACTTATAGAAATATAGCACAATTAAGTTGCGTGGAAAGAAAACGACGCTCCCGACATAGACTTTCAAGCGGACAAAGTAAAACCATGTTTCACAGCCAAGACGACCTGGATAAAATGCTTCAGAACGAAAATTGATGCACAGTGCAAATAACATTCGCCATTATCTACTAGTCAACGCAATCATTCAATAAACAGTATTGTAATTTTCACCGGTCGTGCAACGCATTGCATCTGTAGTTGACACGATGACACATGGTGAACACATTACACACGCATAAATTCGACAATTTAATAGAAAACAATATTAATTATATATTCGAGTGCGCATATCATGGCACGTTCATTAATTTTCGTAGTTTATTATTACACATGCAACGAGTAAACAGGTGTGCACGTGTCATATCCACGAATTTATGTTTAAATAAATCGGATGAAGTGTACGCCGATTCGTTTGGGTTTTAGTTTTCCACAATTGGGTAATTTTGTGAGATAATACGCAACGTGCTGGCGTATTTGCAGCGGCATGCTATACAAATCATTTCGAATTGAATAATGAATGCGTGTGACGGGTGTGTGCGATGGTTCAACGTGTGTCTCAATATATGAAACGCAAATTAAACTAAACACAAGTTGAGGTTACAATGGTTACAATGAAATGACACATAACTGTAGTGAGATAATGTTAATTATAAATACAAACAAATAAATTACAGCATTGTTAGTTAATTTTAAACAGATTGGAATGTTTTATTAGTTCGTTATTTTAAATTTATAATCCAGCGATTGTCGATATCGTGAATTGTTTACTTATCTGTAACTGGAAAGTTTCAGATGTCATGCTAATTTATGCAATTATATTGGATGAAATGAAGTATTGTGCATAAAACCGAAACAAAAATTGGCTTTTTAAAATTTACGTTTATTGAACACAAAATATTTTGTAACTCACGCACTTTCGGCAATTAAATAGTGTTGCAATTTTATTTGCAACGTTGCATGTAATTAACATACATTTCCTAAAAAGAAATTTTTTCATTCCGTCTCCTCTAATACTAAAAAAAAGTCATCGTGCATTATTAAAATAATAATATACCAAATTACCTACCTAAGTATCCTTTATTTTCGTGTTTTCCTCAAACAATATACTTACAAAGCAAATATCATAGATTATGATTGTATTTCCATCACATTATTTCACACATGTATCTTAAGCGGAGACGGCAACGAAGATATAAGCAATACAAAGAAATTTACACCGACAGGCAAGTGTAAAAAACCGCAATGCATAAATATTAAATATAAACACAAGCGGCGTCGGCGGCATGAGGAACAACAGTCTCGTAGGGTTCGCAGGGCATCGCGGAAAAAGCGCGGGCTATACGTGCGGCGCGGAAATACTCAGGAGCCCCTTCTGCTTCAACATCATTTCGCCTTTGTGTGTGTGTCGGAGTGTCGCATCCGTGTTGTTCTTATTTCGGCGCGCTGTTCCAACTTGCGGTTCACTTATGCTCGCGCCCTCGGAATCGCAGAATGTGTACGCAAATGCGCTTGATTTATTGCGGCACGCTTAGATTATTTTCGCCCTGTTTCCACGCTTTTATTTTTCTTACCTTATGCGGACCTTACACTGCTTATATTTATCCTTACTGCTACTCTAGGGTTTGGTTTTGAGCTTTGCGCCTGCCGCTCGTGGACTGCTTCCGGAATGAGACACGCTTCAGCGGACTTCTTTCAGGTTTAGCGGTTTTTACCTTAAACGTAAATTATTATTATTGTGTGTTTCGCTAAAGCTGCGAAAATCCACTTATAACTTTAAACCTGCACAAAAAGGGAAGGTTACCTACAAATTGAAGCAATATCTACAAGATAAGTACCATAATCAATATACATTTAATATAATTTGTATTTTAACATATAAAATGTGTCAAAACGCAAATATTACTCACTTTAATTCACATAACAGTTAAGGAGTGCTTGCCATAAAAGAAAAATCAATGGATTCACAATGTAAACATTTTCAATGCACAATAAAACATTCAAACGTTTTAATCCTGTTGTGATGCAGTTAGAATTAAATTGATTGCCGCCTCTGAACTCGATTTGAAAGTATTTACTCTGTCAACATTCATAGTGTTCGCACAAGTTCAGAGACGCACGCACGCATCCAAACATTGCATTCACCACTTGTCGTTTATGGAAATTGCGTCGCGCCGTGAAAGGTGTTGAAGAAGTTTAAGGTAAGCAAGCACCAGTTCTCCAAGACAGTCCATAATCTTTGAGTAAACACACAAGAATTCCTCCTTTTTTGGGTTCATCACAAAATTTTCTTTTCGTCATATTTGCAGCGGATGAAAACCTTCAATCGTCAATTAAAACATGCGCTACATTATCATACCTTATAGTTCAGTGAAGTTCTCAGTCGAAAGCACATCATTCATCATTCAGTGAACACTTCGAGAATATTTTAATCAGCACACTTCGAATGTCATTCACAACTGCAACATTGTACGGTAGAATAGACTATTAGATACATAAATTCTCGTCTATTTGCATTCGAATGTGATATTAAAATCAGCATCAACGTCATACGTTAATGCAGTTTCTTCAAGGATTAAAAATAACTCACTATGTTTATTGCTAATTGAACGCGCACATATTCAAAGGAAATTTCAATGTGAACTACTTACTCGGCTTTGTAAGACTAAGAATGTACAGCAGTTGTTAAAATCGAACCTCATACGAATGTCACTCTTTACTGAACTTTGGTGTAATATTCTCGTGCGTAAAACAACGATGATAAAGTTCGTTTATACCGACTGAAGCAATAACCGCGCATATTCACTGTGAAGCGTAGATAATGCCGAAATGTATGAAATAATTGTCGGTTTCGTAATTATTTAAATAATGTCGGTTTTAAAATTGTGCAAAAAAAGGTTTTCGTCGCCAATTACGGATTAATTGATTTGGAGTGAAGTTGATACCAAAATCACCCGTGCATAAACTTCAAAATGTTGGTGTTAAATCCCAACACTTTATTGAAGAACGCTTACTGGTAAGTTTTACTGCCTTTTTTGTTATCTGCAGTGTGGGCAGTAATTTTTTTTTTATTATTTGTAGTAGTGATAACAGTAGAGTTAATTCAGTAGACTCGGAAGTCACTCAAACTGAAGTTGAAAACAGGACGTACCATGGGACAATACCACTGGAAAAACAAAGTGCTGCTAAATCTGTATTGCCAACGAATGTGGCAAGAGTTGTATGGCCGAGACGTGATTTGGGTCATGTGAATTTGGCGTTTGTCGCATGTGATGGGTAAGTGCAATCTCGACTTTTTAATGATTGAATGTGAATTGTTTGTGTGTGAGATTGTAACATACGACTTCAAATTTTTGTATGATACGCCATGTAAGTGTAACTTTTATGTATTTTCGTCTGGTGATCTTCCGCAAGTATAAAATTCTAAAGTAATGAAACTTGCTAAAAATTGGATAGTCATACTCGTACGCGTTCGTTTCGATTACACCTTCGTTTTTACGTTCGTGGATGCTCAGGCATTCTGGGCGAAATAAATCTGGGGTGATCTACTATTTGCCACTATGAACCAGGAAGGTAAGTGCAACCGTGTGCAGCCACGTCGAGAACGCGAAATGTTCGAAAACGCCGAAGAAATGGGCCCCAAATGCACAGTTTTCTCCAACTTTATTACTCTCTCACCACTCGGCAGTCCAAGTGAGTCCAACGTTGGAGCTGATCTTCAGTTATGCATCGAAAGCAATATGTACGCGTTGCAAATCGATTTCCGCTTTTTAATAGGTATGATTTATTTTATTTCATGCAATTATCATTAATTTACCAATTAAATAATACGGTAGGAGGAATATACGACCCAAAGACTCTTTTTTGGCAAGATTATGCATTGTTTAATTTTTGGGAAATATAATACTCTAATTCCCAAAGTAAACACAAAATTAAATCGATTCCAAAAAATTTGGATTATCTAAAAATTAACTACTGCAATACAATGTTGCTAAGCTTTATTTTAACGTTATTGTTTTAAATTTTAGTAATAAAATTAGGAATCTCTAAATTACCGCATTGTTGGTTGTGTTTTTAGTTTTTTTGCATTTTTGTCTACATTGTAATATCAACATTACTAGATCATTTAGCTACTTCCAAATAATATTAATATTTTGCATTTTCGAGTAATTATTAGCAATAAGCAACTACAAAGTTCCATAGAATAAATATTGTACTGCGGAGATTAATACATGCAGCGCCACGTACCAGTGAAACGTAAAAGTAGTACATTCATAACTTGTTGGCGCCTACTAAATATAGATGGCAGAACAATCACCGATCAATACTCAGAGTCAACTCGTTACAACAAAAAGAAATACTTATAGCAACAATTTAAAGACGATTTACACAAAATACTAATTACTTAACTATTCTAGTTTGAATTAAATCTATAAAAAATTTATATACTTCCCAAAAAGTACAATAATTTAATAATTCTAACCAGCATCTTTAAGTGCACGCCCCTGTGGAAACCACCTATATTTCACCACGTGACTACATCTTGACCAATCAAATGCTCAAAAGTATTACAACATTCAGTAGCTCGGGCCTCACGACCGTCGACGATAGCAGGTCCCAGTGACAGGAGGCAGACGTCATTCTGTGCCTTCGGCAGCGAGAGTGTCAGATCGTGCTCGTTGCGTCGTGCGAACATTTTTATCGCGCAGCAATTCTATCAACCAGCGTCGGGGGATAACGCATATCGCAGCACGGATTTACTGGACCGCACGAGACGGTGAGTCAGTTATATTTATTCAGTGTCACACGACCTGCTAAACACACACACGGTCACGCGAAAGTGCAGTGAGCGGCTAAAGGGTGGTGGCGTGAAAGGGTGACGGGGTAGCATACACAGGGAGGTACAAAGCCGCGGCTCGCTTAGACTCCCGCTAGAGACACACAACACACACGAAATGTTACGTTAGAAACGCAGAGGCTATTAGTGGAAACCGCGGAAAAATCAATATCTCGGACCACCGAGTTGCAAAGCCAGCAGGAAACAAATCAATTTCTGTCCGGTTTTTATTCGCTTCGGCAAGGCGCAGGAAAGGTGCGACACGTCTTGGACGTGATAGCAGTAGCAGGATAGCATAGATTCAGGAGAAATTCGTAGGCGGATAAAAAGAGAACATCCTATTCGTAAATTGAACAATTGACACAATTAGGGTCGATTAGAAAAACGCATTTCGTGGATTGCGATCCTAGTCGGACGTCTCTCTAGCAAGTTCTCGCTTTGAGGGAATTTGGGTCAGAATAGGTGCAATCTCTCTCGCATACCGTGACGTAATACGCTTTCCGGGTTTTCCTCCACCTTACACAATTGAAATTGCTTTCTTACTTACAATATCAAACACGAATTCACGAAAATCCATTCGATGATAATTTGCATTAATTAACTTCAAATACTTGACAGCTCCGCACACTGATGTTAGGGCTAAAATAAATTGCATATTATGCAAGCGCATGTGCATGTTAATAGTTGATAACTATTTTAGGTCACAAGTGACACATTTCCTTAATGTTTAGACTCTAAAAATGCTTCCATTTTGAAATTGCATGCATCGCTCCATTTCCGAGTAACCGCTAGTAATTTTGCGTGTGGTATCGATGTTCTTTCGTTTTATTCTGACTTGATTGCAACCTATCCAGCATTTTTTTTGTTTTACATTCCTAGTTGCTTTCTTAGACAACTCGTAACACGCAAATACAAAAAGGGACTTTAAGACACACAGACAAGGCCGGATGTCTCGAGTCCGGTTTCTGTTAATTTGGCAACGCCTGTGTTAAACCGGAAGTCGCTTTAGGCAAAATGCCGGGGAGCATTGGCGGCTCGTACCGGTCGCTGGGCGGCTCTGGATCTGATATTTACCGGTCTACAACAACCGCTGCAAATGGTTCTAATGGCTCTACCACGATGATGGACACGGTGAAGAAGGCTTTCAGCTTTGTCACGGCTACAAATGGCGGCAACGGTTTTCCAAGTGAGCCGCTAATCGCCGAAGACGATGTCAAACAACCGGTCATCATTGCATCCAGGTACTGTACCCGCTTTGTATTTTTTATTTCGTATTATTTTTATCATTCTTATATTAAATTATTACTAAATCGAAATATGCATATCGCAAAAGAATTGTATTGAGAGCAACTTTTTTCGTAAATCACCACAAAAGTCAAAACGGATTGTTTCACAGTTTTGATGCGTTTGTTTTTGTTTGCAAAATTAATTGAGGCACTCGTTTGAATATGGTCTGACTGGTTGTGAATAATTGATTCATGCCCAAAGGTAAGATATGCATGACATAGCATGGACGCACTTTGCATTTGAATCTTTGCAACTAAAGTGCTCTACTTCCATTGCATTTTGTTTACCAAACGTTTATTGTTTCATCTGATTAATTATAATTATAATAAAATACGACACTTTCTTTCTATTTATAAACTAAACGCTGTACACAACAATAAACTGACAAGTGCGTTGTAAAAATGAGCCCTGCAAATACAAATGGGCGACTTTCATTGGATAAACTATGTTTAATTAAGCTAACAACGGAGATGAGGAGTCGGACGCGAGAGACAGTCGACGAAAACGCTGATAAACAAACGAATTAACTGGTTTCGCAAGCGAAAACCAAAACAAAACAATGATACGGAATGTTTAACTCATCAGAATGCAAAAACATAAATAAAAACATTGAAATTAATTGCAATTCTTAGGTCATTGATACAGGAAATTTTATAATATGAAACTAAATGACTAATTTATTATAGTAATTATGAATTGATAAGATTCTAGTTTTCCACTTCATGTTAAACAATCTGTATATTTGTACGAACGCAGTCTGATAATGAAACTTTCAAGAAGCTTATAAAAGGTAACGCGAGTCAAGCGGATCGTGTCAATCCAGTCACAACTGGATCTTTCTGGCGGTAGCTGCACGCGATTATGCGTTTCTTGTCTTACATTGTAATTCAACATATCGGCGAACGAAAATAACTATCAATTTTCAATCGAAGCTGATGTCTCATGTGCAAAACTGTCAACTTTAACTACTTTTATTATGATTGATTCGAATGTTGCGCATTTCGCTTATTGATATCGATTGTTTTCCATTCGTAATTGCGCACACGATACGAACATGGGACATGGTACATATTCGTCGATCGACCGCGCCAATGTCAACGGAGCGCTGTGCATGTGTAAAAATAGTTTTCGTCCGTTTGTGCTTCTTAATGATTTATGCGATTATGACATGCAAAGCAATGATGTGGACAAGAGGACGCATGCGCCGATTGGCCAACGATCGTCAATTTGCTAAATTTTCATTACCGCGCATATTTGAAGCGAATGAATATGGGGCTTGTGGTTTTTAATCGACTGAAAGCCATTTCCAGCTGAATTGCGCATTGGCGATTTGCAAACGTTATTGAAACGTCTCTAAGTTAACACGCAATATTTTGCACACCCGGGCGAAACTTAATAGTGTTTGCGCATCAACAACTCAGAAACTGCATCAGTTTGAAATACATCGCAAGCATATAAGTACGCAGATTATTTACTTTAGAAAAAGTTAGCATTTAAACGTAAGATGTAAGGAATTTTGTTTGATTTTTGTTGTTTTCTTGTGCTCTAGATCTAACAGCAGTTTTTCAGTTATTCGGTTTTGTTTGTTTTAGGACTGACAGTGCTAACACTAACACAATTAGAAAAATGCCTACATCAGGTGTAGCTGAAGAAGCAGCCCTTTTGGGGTAAGCAAAACCGCACACATCACTCTAGGCGACGACGATCACCGGCCGACAAAATGGCACACACATCATCAGCATTTCGTATTATTACCACATTCTCCATTTAGCATACATTTATACACACCGTGCATACACCCGACATTTTTTTGGTGTTATATTTAGTCCATTTTATAATTGTATGTTCCCCATTTCTTGCTAAAATTTTTGAAGTCGTATGGTTGTATGTATGTAGGAATGTGAATGATTAGAATCTAAGAATTTTCTTTTTTCTTAGGCTATTGCCTAAATTGTGTCTAAGTGTCGTAATGAATATTTTTAGCACGATGCCATCGGACAGTATGGACGACATCGAATTGAAGAATATTCAGCTGCAGTTCCCTTCGACCCGGTCGCTCTCGCGGGACGATTCGTCCGCTTGCGAAGAGACGGTTGAAACGGATCGCGGACCGCTTGTTGTTGCTATTCAGGGTTCGCGCAACAAGCCCGCGATTTTGACGTATCACGACTTGGGTCTTAACTGTAAGCCTATTTTTACCTATTTTACCTTTTCATGTCTATAATTATTGTATTTCTTTCAGATATTTCGAATTTTCAAGCTTTCTTTAACTACATTGACATGCGCGCTCTTTTGGAGAACTTTTGCGTGTACCACGTGAACGCACCCGGACAAGAGGAAGGCGCGCAAACACTTCCCGAGGAGTACGCAATATTTCTATATACCTATGATTATTATTATTATGGCTATGTATTTATGTGTGCGATTTTGCAGTTATATTTATCCGACAATCGATGAGCTCGCATCACAACTAACGTTTGTGCTGTCGCACTTTGGGCTGAAGCAGTTCATCGGCTTCGGTGTTGGCGCTGGCGCTAACATCCTTTCGCGTTTCGCCCTTGTCAATCCACACAAGGTGGCGGCGCTTTGTCTCATCAACTGTGTCAGCACGCAGGCTGGCTGGATCGAATGGGGCTACCAGAAGCTAAACGCACGCTACTTGCGCTCGAAAGGCATGACCCAAGGTGTGTTGGATTACCTCATGTGGCATCACTTTGGACGGGTACGTACAAGCCGAAAATACAAATATGACGAAAATTGGATTCGGTGTGGCCTTGTACCTGTTTATTTACTTTCCATTCAGTCCGCCGACGTATCATGTTAAATTTAGTAGCGTTTTTATGAAGTAGATCGATATAATTTGGTGAAGGACGTCGTTGTTTTATTTTGACGGTCATTTTAGAACACCGAGGAGCGAAATCATGACCTGGTCCAGGTGTACAAGTCGTACTTCGAGCGCAATGTAAACGCGACCAATCTGGCGTTGTTTATCGATTCGTACATCAAACGAACCGACCTGAACATTCAACGCGAGATGGATCCCACCAAAAAGAAGGAGGGTATGACGCTGGGCATGCCTGTGATTAACATCACTGGTTCGCACAGTCCGCATATGGACGATACAGTCACGTTGAATGGACGTTTGGATCCCACGAATTCAACATGGATGAAGGTGGGCTTGTATGCAAATTATGTTGAATTCAATGTTAAGTCTTGTTTTTTGTTTTTTATTTCTTATAGATATCTGACTGTGGCATGGTATTGGAGGAGCAGCCAGGGAAGGTGAGCGAAGCGTTCCGTCTCTTCCTGCAGGGCGAAGGCTACGGTAAGTCACCCAAACTTAGCGAATAGACGTTGCTAGCTCCTTAGAAACAGATACCGATTCTCAAAGCAAAATTTTCAACTAAAGAATGTGATGTTGAGAAAGCGGAGCATTAACTGAAGCGACCAGCAAGTGTCGTCTGATCGATGGCTGCTAGTGTGCGATGCAGCCACCTTCGAACACGACACGAAACGCCAACCGCCTAATTGCAAACGCAAATTGTTTGTGCCGGTTCAAAAACGGCCGCCTAAACTGAAGTGATATTTAATGGAAAAAGCGATGTGTAGTGTGTTTCAAAAGTTGTTCTATCTTTCTACGTACATAAATTGGCATTGCGAAAGGGAAACAGTTATGCAAAAAAAAACCTAAATGTCGGTCGCCTGTTAGTAAATGATTCATAAATGTAACATGTGCGTAGTTGTAGATGGAAGTTACGATTAATGAAATTTTACGATTAAGTACAACATCAGACATTGAACACTTACCAAACACAGCAGCAATACCGCAATCGCAGAATGCAACAAACACGCTGACAACATTCGCTGACACACCACGGCTTTCTTCTCGTTTGTTTGGTTATGGCTTTTGTGTTTCCAATAGGTTGGGTGTTTTTCGTTTTCTCGTCACGTGATACAATTTCGTTCGTTTTCCGTTTTCACTTTGATTTTGGGAAAACGAGTAATATGACACTAAGACTTGTTGTTTATTTGTTTCACATTTCTCTCTTCTCTTCTACTTCTCACAACCACCAACACTTAATGGCTACCTCTCGGACTGGTACGTATGCAACCCGCCAATCATCACGCCATGGCTGCCAACCGACGAAACAAAAAATCATTGCGAACACTCAATCGATTCATAAACAATCATCATCAATACAAAACGAATGAAAACGGGCGTTGTTAAATTGTACTAAGCAGCCAGTTCGGTGAAATGCGCGCCGAAGTGCGAACCGGTGCTCGAGAAATACTAATTGCACTTCGATTGAATTTCGAAGAGATTTTTTGAACTTTTCAATTATGTGTATCTTTGCTGTGTGTGTGTATGCTCGTCACACATTTTCACAACGTTCTCTTTCTTGTTTACAGTGCACATTTAAACGAAATGCAAAGCTAATTATTTGATCACCGTTTTCACTCATTGCCATCAGGTCATTTAATTACACGTGCACGCCACGCGCGATCTGCATCCCATCAATCGTTTTTCACATACATAGAGATATAAAATACTAAAAACGAATCGAAAAATCATAACGATGACTACAGAACTCTGCAACACGACCGTTTGTATTTTACTTCCACGGGTAACTTTTGTCAATGTAAATTCTACATGAATTGTTAGTTATCGAATTTCGTTGAAGATATTTTTACAATTTTTACAAAACTTATGTACAATTAATCGAAGGGTTAGTGCTTGCTTGTGTAGTGAACAAGCTTTTAACGAAAGTGACAACAAACGATTCTTATATGTTCAATCATTGAATTACCTTCATGCTCTTACTTTGAATACTCATTTGAATAATATTGGGATGTGATCATTGTTAACTTTTCTCGTTTCGATCTATTTTGTCTATATTTATATTTAATTATGAAATATTTAAGCTATTGACTTAACAAGTAAACAAATGTACGATTAGTGTATAATCAAAGAAAGTGCTTTCTACCATTTGAACGAAAGGCGTAAAAAAGAATATTGAACGAAGTACAGAGTAGGAAGGATTTAGCAGAGCGTCAGAAATTTGCAGCTTGCCTTTATTAAATACAAGTGGGTGTAACTGATTCAATAACAACAATAAGTAAGAAATTATTATTGGAACTTGTTACCGCATATTTAATTGATTGATAAGACGATGATGATAAAGAAGATGATAAACAGAAATAAATTTTATGTTGAAAAGAAAGCAAACATGTTCATAATTGTTATTTAACAACAACTTGAGTTGATACCCAGTTTGAATTGGTTTTGAGTTTATTATTAGCACTGTGTTCGGTTTATTTTCGTTTTCGCATCGCTTTTATCATTACTTTCTTTTATTTATAGTGCTGGATAACAGTTTTACAGTTATTTATAGTTTGTTTGTGTTGTTGACGTTGTAATGTTTTGATTGATCACATTTTTCTCTATTTTTAATTTATTGAGAATCGAATACTATTAATAACATCGTGATATTTGAACGATGCTGGCACCGTTTTAGTTGTATGACAATTATTGTTTGACGTTTTACTTTATTTTTTGTTTTTACTGCACAATTATCACCATTTTGGTCATCCTATTGTTTTAGCAATCCGCGTGGGCCGACGAGCAAGTAGCCTTGCCTCAGTGGAAGGTAAATTGATTAAATAATCTATTGATCAAGCAAGGGCCCTTATTACTATTTTTTTTACCAATACCACAATGCCATGTAAGTTTATTTTTGTAAACATTATTTGTAATCCTGACGAATGTAACTAACAAATCTACTAATTTTATACTGTCTGTATTTGTCGATGGACTGATGCCTCTTAAAACTAACATTTCATGTTAGGATATACATGCCTGCCATATTTTGGTTTCATTGTGCATCTAACATCTTTTGTTTAACGCGCCATTTTGTACCCATACTAATCATGCATTTTCAGCTACCTAGCGAATGGCTTTCACCATAGTTAACTACCCTCACACAATCACACATCTTACTAATATTACTAACAGTATTTATTGCTTCCCCTCAAGGAATTTAACAATCAATTTTTTATTTAGCATAATACCAATGACTTTTAATTTTTTAATTATTCATTTTTAACTTTAATATATTTGTGACAATTGATGATTGTTGATGCTGGCATTGGTGCTTGATGAGTGTGGCGTGTTTTGCAGTGGCACCATTGTCGCCTACTAAGATGGCGGACTTCCGCAAGGCGTCGTTTGAAGAGCTGCTTAAAGCGAAGTACGGCAACTGCGCCGACCACAGCAGCCCCATGCTTGCGCGTAACATCCACATCACTGAAAATCCGATATCGGCCGTCGTCTGCTAATCGCCGGCCGATTATCCGACAAGTCACCCGACGCCCGAAAATAGTCTCGACGAGAGTGCGAAACAACGCTGCTTTACTATAACCAAACATATATACAAAAAAAGGAAACACGTTGGATATCACCACAGGAGTTTGCAACATATTTCACCGACTCACGCGCGTCTCACGTACGTATCGCCTGGCTGTATTGAAATTTACACTAGTAGATGAAACTAGGGAGAAAATAATATAGAGGTGGTGATTAAATGTGTTTAAGAGTTCAATAGATGGAGCTTGAAAGCTTGCGGTGCTTGCTGCTTGCGAGCGAACACAAATTCTAAAGTAGGCCACTATCGTGCATATCATTTTAATTCGACGCGAGGGGAGAAAATGGCGGCTCAAGGTGGCGCCACTTGTAGGGACAAGATGGCGACCGCCGTAAATTTCAATACAGCTGTATCCTACGTAGGTAATAATTTGAAACTGCGTTGGATTTCAATTTTCGGCCACTGCCCTAAGATTATTACATTAGTGTCGCTTCAATGTTTGATATCATTTTCGACATTGTTTCGACCCCCCAACGAATTGCACATATCGTTTCAAAGTCATACCCATAATCACCACACATGATTGGTTTACAGGCGCGGGCACGCTGGCTGTGTTGTTAGCGCAAGCGTATTTGTGGGCAAAACATTAAAAATGAAGCTGAGATAACAAAAGAGACAGATTTTAGTCTAGGAATATTGTTACGAGGGCTTTAGTGCTTTTTCGGTGCAATGATGGACACACAAAAAGTACACTGCAAAGAACTAATAAGGGCCTAATTTACATATTTTACCTTTGTTAACTTAGATTTTACAATAATCTAGAAAAGTATTAATTATTTTCGAATGTTTTAAACGTTTACAAGTTTTACGAAGTGATAGACACGTACGTTCTCGATAGCTTTGTTCCATCTTTGGAAATGCATTCATGTGGACCAAATTTGGAACAAACTAGTTTTATATTGATTGTCGTATTATGAGATGCATTTTATAAGTTTTATTTTTTTGATTAACGCCTGTTGCATAGAGTATTATGTTGCACATTGTTTACCATGTCAATTGGCAGGATATGATAGCAACAATTTTCTCCATAGAATTGTTACAAGCGCAAGGCGGTAGATCGCGAGAAGTGTACGAACACAATATTAACGATTACGATTACCGAAGAAACACCACACTAGTCTCTTAGTTGTAGCTGAAAATTACATTATTATTCATTAGCGTGATATAACAGTACATTTCTTATTGATTGTTGTTGACGGTTACTAACAAAGTGCTGATTTATTCGAGACCTTCGAATTTGTTGTGCATCTATTTAGTGCAGTGCGAAAATACGTAGCTGAAAATAAAAGCAAAAAAGATAAATAAATGCTGTTAAACAAAGCACTTTATTGTATCATCTATTGACGAAATGGTGTTGCTGTGCTTTTTGTCGATGAATTGCGAACGCGCAGTTAGCCATCGATGCACTGTTATAACAATTGATAGGTTGACGAAAAGCAGGCAAGCATCGAGGCATGCACTGATTTTGAGCATGGAGTCTTAAGTATGTGGGAAATGATAACTATATACATAATGAATATATTAATATATTGTGCCTGACTTTGTTAATTTTATGTTTAGCACACTATAATTTTAATAAAAAAGTAAAACGTTACTTCTGTCATTTCAGTCCTAAATTATACAAACTTTCCTTAAAAAACTTTCAAAAAATTAAAAAATCAAATTAAAATATTTGAAGCTGCGTGTCGAAAACAAAACCCCTTTCGGCTATTGTAATCACGTAAATTGTAGCACGCAGCAATTTGGAAATTAACTCACGGCGTCCTCGCCATGATTCAACAAGACGAAGATTCGACAAAGATCTGATGTGTTGCAAATAACCGACATGTGAACACGAACGTGATACATGCTGTAGGAGTACTCAGAACATCATCAACGACGAGATCAACACACGCGCACACGGCACGAAGCTAACATTCGAGCTAATGAATGAAAACAAGAAACAAGATGAGCTGGCCAAGGTAACCGCTCATTTGCTTGTACGATGGACGCTCAAGAAATTCACTTCGAGCGATCCACGCGATGTGGTTTGATCTTGATTGGGCAGCAGGGTTCGACCCGGAGCTGCTACCATGTTACGTAAGGAATTTGAACATTCAAGCACTCTGTGAAACGCGAAGCGAAGCAATGGACCAAATGAATTTATGATGTTGATGCGAGAATTTGATGGATGGAATCAGGGTCCTCCTTAATTTCATCCACAGCATGATTTACCAGTTCAAGATATTATAGGTGTTTCCAATTTATGAAGCAGACATAATATAATAAAGTCCTTAGAGACGATCGAATGCCGATGGAATTCCTGATGTAACAACTTTCAGAATTGCAGAAAATAAACTGATTTGTAGTAACATCTAGTGAGGTTGCAGATACAACTCGAGAAAACGACTTCTATTATATGTACATACTTATACTTATGTAAAATAGAAACTCGCGTTTCCGATGAATCTTGGAATCGCTCATGAAAAAAAAAAGAACTCGTTTACTATGGTGCCGCAGCAAGAAGAAGCTGACGATTTCTATCTTTGTCGCAAACGTGGACGGTCCAGTCATCCTCTACCGTCCATTCTTCGATTTCTTCTGCTTCTGCTTTATACTTATACCCGACGCTCGTGTTTCAAACCGAGCTCTCGATGCTCGGGGCGACGTTCCGTCGCTTTCAATGTGGTTCTGCTTCAGGGTCACAACGTTACTCAAGTTAAGCCGAGTCCTGAGTTACCTGCGTTTCTGCGCCAGCGCTGAGTTGACCGCTCAGTACATTCGTGTGCCTTCGGGCGTGCTCGCCTTTTGTTGACTTCTTATCCTTGTTTTGTACGCTGGCCCAGCATTTGTCTCTCGTTGTCGCATCGTGTTTGAGCATGTTTCATTGCCTACTGTTTGAACATTGAATACGTCCGAGCAGCAAGAACTTTGAGGCGCGCTTCAGCACATAGCTCAGCGAGAAACTGTCGCTCGTCATTCTGTTTAGTGCGCTGGTTGCGTGCGGAGCTCGCTGCGAACTTGCGTGTGTGATTTTTTAATTTCTTACTTCGCGCCTTTTAAAATAGTGCAAAACGAAGTGAAACAATTACCGTGCATGCTTATCAGATAAGGATTATATCATCTATTGTGCATATTTGGATATTATAAAATTTAATCTTTTTGTTCTGACTGTGCAAGTAGGATCTTGCAAATTAGTGCGAGATTTCTCATTGTTTACGCGTATAAACAACGAAAATGAAGTGACGAAATTGAACCAATAGTGTATTTTTATGCTTTCATAAGCAATCAGCAGCCATGGATAACAACGCTTTCATGCGCTTATCACTCTTGATTGTGCTTTGCACATTGTTTGGATCTTCCCTGGCCGTGATTGAAGAACGAGGTGAGTGGCTCATATAAATATGAAATATTTTATTTATTTTTAATGCGTGGTACATAACTATCATTATTAATTAGGACAGAAATATTTATTTATCATTGGCGTTGATGATATCTATTTTGATAACATCATTTATTGCTGATATCAAATTTAAAAATACTTTTTAATTTATTTATTTGGTGATTCAAGTCAGATATATATACTGAGGGGTCATAAAGTGAGTTTTGGTAAGCCTTGGCTGATTTACAACCCTCAATAAAACTGTATTTCATCAAGCCGACATTTCTTCCTAGATAAGATATCTTGACATTTGAAAGATGAAGTGGAGGGTAAAAGTATGTTAATTGTACCTGTGTATATTTTTATATAAATATACGGTATACAATTTGTTTTCATATGTGACATTTTAAATTGGGAAAATGTCGCTAGGTTGAAGCGTGTCACATTACAAAAACAAATTGTAACACCACGCGCTATTAAATGGAAATAAAATTTCAATGCAAAATCTGCATCTGCATTCCTCGAGCCAATAAGCAATCAAGACATGCAACAACACAATAATATAATCAAGAGCGCAACAAAGGTACTCGCCGTACCGTTTGCACAGTTGCGACTTTCAATTAATAAAATTGCTGTTTTCTCGATATCTGCTTACAGCATTGGCAAATACAAAGTGCAACATTAATTACAACCTTAGATTTTTCACGCCACTAAATAAGGAAACGAATTAATTGCTTTACCTTGCTCATAACCTCAATTCTTAACTATTTTATTTGTATCTACGAATAAGTTTTCTACATGAACTTCATTTTTGAGTAAAGTAAAGTGCTGAATATTTTAATACCCTGTGTGATTATTAACCATGCACGAAGCGTGTTCGTAAGAAATTGTTGTTTTTCAAATGAATGATCATTATCCTAGGCTGGTACCGAACAACCTTGTGGCACGAAAGTCACATGCAAACGTCCATCGCGTCGCGCATACGATTTTTCACTTCGTTTGCATATAATTCCGATTCGATTCGATGCCAGTCAGCAGTGAAGAGCACAAAGATCTCGACTTGGTTTTGCGCTTCTTTGGAAATCTCATTGTGCCTGCAGAATATTGTTATTATTCCGATGTATAATTCAGTCAAATTGTGAGAATCTTACGTTCGCACACTGCCTTTCTTGATTTTATTGCACATTTTGCTTAAAACGGATAAAAACGTTTTTGCACGGATTAGGCATTTTTCTACGGTTGCTTTTTTAGCTTAGCCGTTATGTGTATCATTGAGCGCAGTGCGTGTTTCACATGAGACTTCGACGTTAATTTCGAATGGAACCTTTTCAACTTGGTAGACTTTAGATTGGCCGAGTATAAGTTCTGTTTCTGTGCGTTCGTGTGCGCCTTCCTTGCTTGGCATTAATGTGCAATGAGCGTGAAATACATTTTTTTAAATTTCGACTTGTTGCGTGCGTTACGTGTGTGTACTCGCGGCCCGTGCAACTGCTAACAGTATAACGTTCAATCTTCGCTGCTGAGTCAATCTACGGCGCACATTACTGACATGCATTCAAGCAACGAGCATTCAATGCTAATGCCATGTGAACCACGGCGAGATTCGAGGCATGTGTGAAAAAATATTACGAAATATACAAAAAACGAACAGAAGCAGAGTCACGTGAAAATATGTTCATGTTGTAAGCGAAGGTGAAGTTCATTTCGGAGCAGGCAGCAAGTTCAGGTGTGGTAGGCTTGCAGATCCTCAGGTTGCTTTTGAGGGTGGATGTGGAATAGATTTTTCTCGAGCAGGTAGCAGTGGAGGGCCCAGGCACTGATTTCCAATCTTGCTTTCTTTCTTTCCGTACCTTTCAGAACGCACCCCATTTAAGTTGCACCATGCGTTCGATGCGTGGTGAATAAGACTGGTTGGCATTCTGCACTTGACAATACGCGCCAGGCATACCCGAGGCATGTGTGCCTGGATTCCATTCTCCCAAGACGCTATTGATGAGAAGCGGTCGAATAGGTCGGCCCGTCATGCATGTGAAAGATTGTGGACATGGATATGGATGGGTAGGTGTGGATTCAATAAGGGATGCTGCAACAAAACGCGGTTACCTAACATATTTTGGTTGAAAGACTTATTTTTACCAAAAATTTAAAAAACGACTCGCCGATACGAAATGCAGTTACGGAACATTAAATTTAGGGTGTGCATGCACGGTGTCTAAAGCCTACTACTAACTTGTAATCTTCGAAATTGATGATGGGTCTTAATAGGGCCACGTTAAGTACCAGTGGTCGTAATGAGTCGCGTCTTTAATTAAACTTCATCGGAGCGAGCGACTTTTTTATGGTTTTACCGAAGACGCCGCTTACTTTCGATGCAGGGCTTGTGGGTAAAGAGGGAATCAACGGGCGAATGTTAAATGCGTGCGCGCCTCGTCGCGACACATGTCACAAACCATGCGTGCATATTAAAAATAACAAGACGACTCCGTCTGTCGTTAAACATAAGAAAACACTCGTATCGTAAATGAAACATTGTTATTCTATTGGCATTTTCAATTAAATTCGCTTCTACCTGCTGTGCTGAAGATTCACAACATGTTAAAGTCGTGTTGATTTTGAACGTTTGTTTAATTCAATAAGCGAATTAAAAAATTTTACAACAAACGATAAGCGCATATCATTTGATACGCGATAAAACGGCACGCCAACCGCAAACAATGATGATTCAGTATTTATCGCTGTTACTATCGCAGAGGGTTTTCTGTTACACCCGATTAAAATTGCTTATGTTATGCCATTTTATGTTTTGTTGCTATTTTCGCCGCAGTGCAAGTGCATTTTTATTACAAACAACAACGCAATTTGATACTTTTGCGCCAAGCAGAATATAAAGAGCCGTCGACGAATATTTCCACATGCGGACATACACACACACAATTAATTAGAATAAATAATGTGTAAGCTTAAATGTTTAAAATTATTGAAATGCGTGAGTTGGGAATTTTGATAGCAAATAAACGCAATTTAAATACTTTCGAAATGACCAAATCTGCATATATTAAAATTAGTTTTGCCTTATCTTCCGCCAGATCTCAGCTGTGAGTGTTTCTTCGGCTTGGGCATTATTGATATGAATTTCTTTCGTGTTCTGATACTTGCTAGTGTGCCGTATCGTTCCCACGGTGGAACGTCTGGGCAATCTGGGCACCGGCAACAAGTTGTTCGCCAGCAATATGTAAGATGTGGAAGCCGAGAGAGGAGCAGATGTCCAAAGCTTCGAGAGCCTGGAACAAATATACGAACCTTAAGCGGCATGGCAAAAGTACAAGTAAACTAAATTACGAATTATAATATTTATATGAAGTGGCTCATCAAACAACTCGGGGAACTGCTTTCGAGCAAGGAAAACAAATAGACTTTTGTTGCTATTCATGTGTACACATCCACGTCTACAATATTGATAGTTATTAAATGTTGTAACAACATTCCGACGCTGCATCCGTCGAAATTTATGTTTTCGTTCATCATTATTTACAGTTGTTCGTTTTTGTTGGTTTTACTCTAATTTAGGTGCACGTTACGCGTGATGTTTCGTTCAAGTGTAATTGCCGTGTGTATTTTTGTGATACGTCTAATGCACATCGACCAATGAGTAGCATGGCGGAGTGACCAGCATGTCTGTCTAAATAGGTTAACAATTATTGACCCTGCATTCCCGAGCCCGTGCCCGTGCCGGAGAGTCGCCGATGTCGCCGTTGGTTTGGCCCATCTGTGGCGCGCGTAATCACAATACAATGTGGAGACATCAACTAAAAGAGCGAATTGTCCACAAAATTATATACTACGTCGATTCAATTAGCCGTCTACACGACACACATGAACAATATCACATTGAGGGATATGCGACATTTAAATATGAAACCTGCAGTTGAATGTCGTCTTACGTGTTTGATTCGTTGATGATTAAAATTTCAATAAAAACATGTGTTGCGCTTGTCTCGACACTGCGCGCTGATCCGATTTGAATATGCGCCACGTGAATGGTTAAACGTAAAAAACGAGATGGGAGCCTGCTTCACTTCCGTTCTACCTTTCGTGTCTCGGTGTATCCTGTCGCGCTTGATGCTGGAACGCCCGCCGCCTTCATCTCATCTTCGACAGGGCTCCGCACGCTACCTAATCCAACACATGTGCGCAGATTACGACTTCCTGAGTGAAGTAGAGTTCACTCGGATATCGGCACCTTGTGATACCGGATGAAAACAGGCACGCACAATGTGGAAATGTGGCTTGGATCAAATGAAATCCACACAGATAATTATCTATGCAAGAAGGCGAGGACAGATGCAAACAAGTTGGCGATTGCGATTCGCAATCGATGCAAATATTATTTCGTCATTAGGTGACCTGCCATTAAACGTCCTATGATGCAAGAGTTGCTCGTGAGTCTTTGGTTTAATAGAGTTTTCTGCGTCGCAGATATGCAACAGGTTCTTGCAGTGCAGAAAACGCGTATCGACTTGAAAACAAAGATGCAACTCATGCATTTCGCATTGCATCACATCTCGGCGAAGATATTGCATTACTTCGTATACGCTGTACATTGTGTGCGGACGGTGCGTAGTTAGCATCGAGGATCCACACAAGAGGCACAAACAGGTTCGAAGTTAATTCAAGCAGAATGCGTGCGAATCCGAGCAAAACGCTGCGACGTAGAAGATGCGTTGCATGCACGATGCATGCGCTCGCATGCAGCAAATAAGAAAAGGAAGCTTATCGGACGTAATCTACGCAACGTACGGCGACGCAGATTTGCTCTAAGCGGGCGCACACGAAGAGAAACGCAAAAAAGTTAAGAGGGTCTTGGCTGTAACCGTAAGTGATACTTGATACCCAAGGCCCAGAGAGATCCGAAGACCAAACGAGCCTACAAGGCGCGTCTTTTTCTAGACTTTGAATTTTCGTTTTGGTTACGCCCGAAATCGCCTTTTACTTAGGTTGGGGCTGAGCGAAATCACGTGCTCGATGCTGAGCTTCGTAGGTAAGCACTTTCTGTGGCGACTATTGTGCCTTCAGCCCGGATAATGTCTAGTCTCTTTCAGTTTCTGTTTTATTATCTCCTAACAATGGGCTGCTAAATGTCAGGTCAAGGGACGGAGCGGGTGGTTGGACCCACTTCACAATAACTTTTAATAACACCACTCGAGTGGGCAATTCTTGTAATGGACGGACAGGTAGAATCCGGCATCTTAAAAAAAATTACCATTTTTTGCAAGAAATATTTTCGAAATTATTTTATGACTGTCTAGTAAAAGTCGAAGAAGTGCCCTCACTTCCTTAAAAGCAATTTTGAGTGTCGCCAAACGATTTTCCGCACTTGTCGTCTTGACAATAATTTATCTGATGGTTCAAACTACAGTTTCCTATACATTGTTTAGGAAAAATGTCGTTATCTTATGGTGAAATTATAGTTTCTCATAAATTGTTTAGGTAAAATGTATATATACATGGCGTTGGTTTTTGGTCATTCACTTAACGTAAAATCGTGTGGGTTGACTTGCTCATTAATAAGGCTTATGCCGTCCGCTAAAATTAATTAATTACAACTAATGAATAAACTGACGGTCATTCTGGCGGATGTGCTCGAGGTGTGCCTGGCGATATCTGTCTTCTCGAGTCAGATATTTTGTTTTATACCTTCGTTACCAGCGTCGGGCTGGTATTACGAACGTTGTTACCTTGACCATCATCATCATCATCATCATCCTCGACGTCGACAACGCAGAGCATGTTCTTTTTCCTTGGCGTTATTGCGCGCGCTCTCGAATGCGAGGATTTGTTGTTCTTGTAGCGGTGACTTGTTCGGCCAGTCTTCGGAGGTTCTTACACCTTCCCATACATATAAACCTGCAGTTTACATTCACGAATCGGACTGAACGAAATGGGAATCTCAACGTTTTTATGAATGAAATTCTTTCGATTCGAATTGGACCAAATGAAATTCTCTTTAATATTGAGCTATCTTAATCATTTGTACATTTATGTATTTATTCTTTTTTCATGTTGCTTGCAAAGTTTATTTTTATGAGGGATGCAGACTACCACGTTTAAATAAACGTTTTTGACGAGACAGGCTTAGGGTAATATGAGATTGTTTAGACATTTCCGAAATTTTCGGAATGTACCCGTCAGATACCTACCATTCCAAAGCATGTCGGTGGAAATAATATGCAATGGTTGCAATCCCATCCGGATCCGGTCTGGTTCTGCCTTTCGTTGGCAGCAAAAAAATAAAAACGAAAATCTGAAGAGCGCCGCATGGGTGTTTGGATGGCGGGCACCGTTCTTTGGACTTCCGGCCACCACTGCCAACCGCTCTCTTCTGCATATCATTAAAACATAAGCGAACGCGTTTACAAGAAGAGCGAAAAAAACCTAAAAAAGTGTCGCAAGCATTCGATGTATTTATACGACGTGCACGCTGCACGCACACCAAGATGGCGGTGTTAGAAAGGCAGCGATTGCATTAAAAACGAGATTAAAAACTAGTATCTCTTGGTGAGATGACGAAGGTCGCTTAGTACGACGACGGGAGCATAAATTGCATATTTAATGCCAAGCCAGTTATATGCACACACACGGCACAGGAAATTTAGTTCTTCTATTAATAACAAACAAGTTGGGCATCGCTGGCAAATAAGAGCAGCGGAATGTCTGCGCGCTCGAGCTTCTGGCTGAGCGCGACAGCAGTGAGAGTAAAAAGAGACTTATATAAGCAGTAAAATTGGAAAATTATATTTAAGTTTGATTGCAACGTTATAGTACACTAGAATATTTATTGCAAACCTTGTATCGAGCATATAATTATTTGGGTACGTCTAGGAATGTGCTGCAACTTGAAAGGAGGCACGTAAGTGCATGGCGCACCCGAACTTGTTCAATGGAACGTGAAATTTTTACCGTATGCACTCCAAGGCATAGGTTTCTTGCGTTCTTCCCTATTACTTCACATGAAGTATTTTATAAGTACGTTACTGTGGCCAATGCTACCATTGCCATGCTCCACAAGTCAGTAGTCGACATGCCACACTACACTGCGAGACAAAGAATTGTCGTTTCGTCCGTTTTCTAATGGTTTCCAAGTGTCCACCGACGAACGCACTTACGTAAAACGTAAATAAACAACGTCATGCGACGAAGGTATGCGACGCACGCATGATGATACAGATAGTGGCAAAAGTTGTACGATGAAGTTCACTTCCAGGTTGTGGGATGGATGTGTATGGAGGTACTCCGTCATACTATGCCAAAATGAACGTATGTATTGACATTGGTACTGGGTATATCATCGCGTCTAGAATCGTGCGGCCACAGGCGTAATGATACTTGCCCGACAGACCGTGACAATTATTTTAATGCGTCCGTCGAACCATAATTCGAAATTTCACAACATTTTACCATTACGTACATCTCGACGTGTATTGCGTTTTACACGTTTTTGCTCGTTATGATATTTATTTTAGAGCAAACGACTTCATTTCGATGACATAGTGACAATTCCATTTCGATTCAAACCACTAGAAATAATATTCTGGGAAAAGGAATAAAAATAACAGGTGAATGTAATTGAATAAGAATAAACTAGTTTATTATATTGTCATTTGTGTATAGGACGGTGTGAACTTAATTTTTAAATGCATTATCTCCGGTGGTTGAAAATGGGAGGGAAAATATCAAATTTCATTCGTTTTTCATTTGAAATTTCTCACAAGCGATGCCTAGTTTGCACACGCACTGACTTGTTCCCATATCCTCGTATGATATTTATCGGTTCGCTTCCAAGAGCGGATGGCAGATGTTGTACGGATCCGAAGTTTTTTGACATTTTTTCCTGACGGCCGTTCAAAAAAGAGGAAGAGGAGGAGCAAGTGACTAGAAAAAATTAAATTATATGCAACAACAGAAATATAAAATAGAAAAACTTTTTTCTATGCGTGTTTAAAAAATTAATTTACGACGGTGATTAACTTAGTATATAGTCAAAGCTTTTAAAATTTTAAATTACATCTCAGATATGTAAATTTATTTGTTTCGGCCAGAATTTTGTCGCAATATGTACAGCATCCAAAGAATTAACGAGGTAATCGGGAGCAATTTACGATCGATAGTTTAATACGCCAAGATGTTGTTAAAAATTTCCGATACAGTTGAAATTATAGCTTTTCTAAGATGGAATCGTGCGGGACTTCCGTCAGGCGATGGTGGGACGGATGTCCGCTTGTTTTAATACTCTACTATGTTTTAATTAATAGAACATGGAAATTCGTGTTGAACTTATGTTCGAATCTGGATTAAGATATTAAAAATACTCCGTTATAGTGAAGAGTGCATGTACGTGCCGATAACAATGAATTGAGATTTCAATCGAGAGGGAAGATAATGAACCAGCAGGAAATTGATAATCTAGGGGTGCTTCAATATATTATGACGATAAAAGATTGGTAACTCGAGTGTCTCGTGAATTAATTGTATGTGACAAAGGTTAATGCAGTTATAAAAAGGATTTTCTGATTATTCACGCATTTGGTCAATGTGTAAGGTGTACAAAGGTGTGGGTCTGTTACTCATTTCAGTTTGTGTTAATTTCCGATCACACACTTGCTATTTTAGGTCATTTTATGACTTTTAAGACATAAAAGCAAATATGAGGCATGAAAGGGTCAGGTCAGTGTAAAGTACATTGACTCATCAGTAACAAATTCAAAACGTGAAACGTGAAATAATTTTACCTATCAATTCTATTAGATTAGGTCGTAATTACCCCCAGGTTGAAACCGTTGTTTGCAATGTGTGTTGCTTCTTTATGAGATACCATTACACCGTGTGCCAATTCTCAGGAAGCAATATCTTTTCTTTCCGTTGATTACTCTGCAATTACAACGCGCAAACAATAGTTGCTAAAAGTGGTACGCAAACTGCTCCGCGGCATGATCATGAGTTTGTTGGTCAGTGTTCGTGATGTAATAATTGTTTCCAGATGTAACTACTTTTTATTACTAGCCGAATTAATCTGACGTTCGCGCGGAATTTGTCATGATATGCGCCGGCGACTCAGCGCGCGATGATAATAATTCGACGCGTGTGACGTTCGATTCCTAGAGCGAGCGGTCGAAGACGATGCGGCACGGTCAGTGTTCAATTAACGCTCATTCGCGATCGTCTCAGTTTAATAATTTCTGACTCATTTCTCGGCGCTTTATTGATGAACAGTGGCAACACACTTCTGACTACTCGACGCGTTCGCAGTGGTCGACTCGCGTGCCCTATACATGAAATGATTCATTGCTGAGAATCACAAGCATACTTGATATAAATCAAGGCATTTATTTTGTTTTAACAAAAATTTCTGTAAAATGAAACAAAAAAATCCCTTGTTATTCGCTGTTAAACTGGATAAACATAATTTCCCACGAACTATACGCCTTCGAACGATATTTGAAGGATAGCGACATATTATTTATGTGCGTTCCTCTGACGTAAACTCGGAGAATCACAAGAAACGTCCTAATGGCCCACATCACACAGGTTGAAGAAAGATCGCGAAGAAAAACTGTGCGCACCGAGCCCACTGAAGGAAATATGATGAAGCGAGAAAAAGAAGAGAAGCAGTCTATTCAACGCCCTTATGACATTATGATATTCTTCTCACTGGCTGCGTCTCATGTGTTGTTGTACCGAGACCGTTTTTTGGGCACTTTTTGTTTCTTGAGAATATGCACATCGCATATGAATGAGAATAAAATGAGAACAAGAATGACGCTCGCAATGCAAGACGACCTTTTCATGATCATGAGAGAATTCGAGGTCTTCAGATGAAGTTTTTGTACTTTTTTTTTGTTTCTTAGACAGACAGAACAAACGCAAATTATCTTGTGGCAGTAACGTTATGTTGTTTCCAATAATATTTAATTATATTTCTTATCTCAGACATTGCGTGTTTTCCGCTAATTTTGTTCGTTAAAATATTTGCCAATAATAATTAAAGCGTTTGTTGAAATATTTATCGAGTAAATATTTAATAACGAGGCCATCGCATGACAAAATGACGGATGTCAAAAGCCTTTTGCTAGACTCGTAAAACTTTACACTACGAGCAAATTTGTCTTTATTAACATTTTATGTAGCGAGCATAGATATATTCGTTTCTTCTGGTATGAAAATGATCCACATTAGTTCTTGTGAGCGTTTTGGTGTTCAGAAACATGTCGCTTCGAGCTTCTTGCATGCGTTGGCCTTAGATTACGAATCTTCGAAGCATGACGGCCTTTCTTTCATCCGACTTTGTGAGCGATACGTACACTTACGGTGTACGTACGGTGCATGACCATTGTTTGCTTTCATTAATCCATGCATCTTGTCGTCTATTGTCATCCATCTTCTTCGCTCTTAGGCGGAAATCTTGCGCTGTGTTTCAAGCATTCCTGCTTCGAAATGGACATTATACTGCAAAATTATTATATCTTTCTTTAATAACTCAATATGTCAGCCATCAAAATGGTATAGAAATGTTAATGTGATCGTTAAACGTTTGAACGCTGAGTGGAAATGGCGGAAAATTAAAAGTCTTTGTTTTGTTTTGTTTTCAAACGCGCCTCTGTGCCAAAGTGCAGTTAGAGGCAGTAGACGGACATTTAACCAGAAGCCTTTACCGCAGGTGCACGCGCGCATTAATTCCAAAGTGTTACAATTAATTGCGCGTAAAGTTCTTCTGGTAATTTTGTTGTAACTGTTGTTTTGTTCTTGCATCGTATACGAGACCAAAGGATATATCCAATACCCGTACATCATGCGCCATCTAGTGGAAGAAGCTTGGAAGCCATTTGCTACTAAGCTACCTCTGAGTAGTGAGGAGTGGTTGCCCTCAAAAAGCATAGATGGCGCGAACAGTTACTAACTGACTTAAGCAAGAGTATTGCATGTTACTTAGGTGGTTTTACTATGCGATGGTAGTGAAATACGCGAATTTTTATGTCAGTTACAATAATTAAACGCAAATTAAAGATATAATTAATTATAAAATTGTTAATAGGCATATTTGCACATAATTTTCCTAAAATGCATTATTTTATTTATTTTTCCATATCAAGGAATGGTACAAATATAGTTTTAACTAGTTTTTGAAGTTTGTGACTTTGGTGACTTGAAATCGTGGTTATCGAGCCAAAAATGCATTTTTTTTCTTGGTGTTGCATTCCGTTCTTTTGTTTTGAGCGTGTTTTATGGTCATCGTGCACTGGTGCACTTATTCGATCGGTAATGTCGAGATAACGAAGGAAAATCGTGCGTCGGGCCGCGCATCGTCCATCGCCAATCCGCGCGATCAGAGAAGGGAATCTCGCGCGCTCTTCGGGGAGGCGGTCGTCGAGAGACAAAGGCCGGGCGCGTGATGCACGCTCGGCGTGTGCACAACAATGAACATCTTTGCACCGTGCCGCCGGACACAATTAAAACGCAAAGTAAGCGGCGGAGCCGGCGCGGTTCGGCCACAAATCTCGAACTCTTCGATTCCAGCGCGGTCGCGCGCGCGGACCACTCGCAGCGCCTTCATTAGCGCATACTTTCGAGAATTAACGAACGCGGATTGGTGTCTCGACTCCGTGAGTTCGCTTCGCAGCGGTGCTGGCATGAAAATTATAAAGTGGCCGCCAAGCTGGGCAGCGGGCACCAAGCGGCGGTGATTTCATATTTACATGGAATTCACACACCGGCATTACATAATTAAAGCAGCGCGCGCGCGCGCGCCATATTTGCACTCGCGCGCACATTAAATTTCGCTAACGATCGACGTAAATAAGATTTCTCGTGTCTTGTGAGTTTCACATTGTATTGTCACCTCTCTGGCGAGAGAGGTGTGCTGGTGTGGAAATATTCGCGGGTTGCCACTAGACATATAAAGCGTTTGTTTGGCGCTATGCGGGAATGCTAATAAAACGCGCAATTTAAAAACCTTTAGCAAATCTTTTCCCGAATAACATCGTTTTACACTTGTATAATAAATGATTTAATGGTCGGCAATAAGTCCCGAGTGGCTGAGTGTTTCTTGCCCGTAAAGCACCTCGTGCCGTCTTTTTTCCTATCGCTGCGCCCAGACTTGACGTCGTCTTTGTTGGCCGAGGACAAGGCGGAGTGGCGCGTGTGTGCCTATCGACATGAACATCTCGAACTCGAAAAAGCATATAAACGACTACAAAATGCTTCGATGTAGCCAACCGATGTACCGGTCGCGCTCTCCGCGCCACAAGGTAGAAGAAGCAAAGCAAAGGTAAAAGCGAAGGCACCTAATGGCCGGTATGGCAGCATCGAACGGCCCGACCGTCCGTGACCTTCCTGCTTTGCTCAGCGCGAGCGGCCGGCCATCGCGGCGTGCTGGAGAGGCTGGAGATGATGATGCGTTCGTTCTGCCTAGTCGTGCGCGCCGCGCGCAGCACGAGCGCACGAGATGAAGTCCAAAGGTTGTCGTTTCTTCACGCGTACCTTTTACCTTAGAAGAAAATTGAGGCTCTCCTCTAGCCACTCAGCATGCCACTGAGGAGCGCATAACAGATAGATGGATTTCCAAGCGCGGAGTGCGCTCCGCTTACTTTTAATTCCTGGTTGGTGCCCATCAAATTGATGTGCGATGAGTCAAGAGATTTCTGTTCTCGAACGTTTTATGATATGTTAGGGATGATGTTGTGAGCCTTTGCTCTTCAGACAACCCGATTCTTCTAACTTATTATTTCTTTCGGAAAGAAGAACTGAGCCAAAGATTCTACTAAGTCTTTATTTACAAAATATTGACCAAGAGGCGAATTACAAACTCTACTTCTGGCTCATAAGGCTGACCGAACTCCACCGAGGTTGAGCTAAGACTAAATAATTTTAGCACTAATAATCTTAAACTAAACTTATCGTAAAATACACTAGAAAGAAGGACCAAGGGTAGCCGCTCGGGTCATTGACCCTTATAATGTTTATGCTAATGTGCGGTAGGTCTGTACAAACCGTACCCTTCGGCCGGGAAATTTCAATAAAATAATAAATGGTAATAGAATATAAAACTAAAACTAAATACACAATATTTCTAACTCAAAAATCCAAGTAATGTGCAATAAACATAAATAAACCATAAATGATACGCTCATAACATCACTCCATCCTCCCCGGAAAAAAAAATGTATATATATATATATATATATATATATTTTTTTTTTTACGAAACTTAATTTAATCTTAAGCGCTATGGTTCTAAGTTAATCCATTAAACTTCTATTCTTATTATTGTTTCTAGTTTCACTTCCTATTCACATTCTTGTTCATTTTAAAAATTCTGTCCGATCGACACTGCACTATTCGCTTTTGTATTTGTAGTTATCACGAATGCTCCGTTATCTTCTGTTGGGGGTGACGTGTGGATCATTTCCATGTTGTCCGAAGATATGCGTACCTGGCACCAAAGGTCATCTGCTCTAATTGTTCTCCTTCTTCTCCTTTGCTTTATCTTTCGAATGATTTTGAAAATCGTAAAGATTAACATTATAGCAACTATTGTGTAGCCACTGATGGACCATGGATGTTCAAATTTCGAAGGCTTCTTCTGGTTTAATATTTTGTCTAATTCCTCCAGCTTGTGAGATTGTACGTTGAGGTCCTCGATGTGATGGTTGATGCTCGGATCTCGTCAGTAATATCGAATGTTGGTACAAAAGTCTCGGGTAGTGATCCTCCATCGATGTCTTGCCTTGTATTCAAAATAAATAGCCCACCATATGCTTTACATTTCTCATCAATCGTAACTATACCCGAATTTCTTAATTTAATATCTATTGGATTTTTATGTGTGCAAGTTAAAGTTAAGGTTCTTGTTTCGGTATTAAAAATAGCCAAGCATTTTTATTTGTTAGTTGAATAAAGATACTTTCTTCTACTTCTATAAGCCTTTTGTCACAATTATCGGGAATTTTATCATCGTTCTTATTAAATAATGCGATTTCACAATTATTATGATTGTGTGTAAATAGAATGGGATTTGATTGTCTGCAAATTCTGTGAAATTTGGTTGTTTC